AGAAAAATATTGTTAAGACTTTTTGTTATTTTCGGTTAGCCAATACTATTAATATGGATAATGGGCCCCCATTTAAGTAGAGAATTCAGTATATTTTGCCAATAATTATCAATTAGAAATGTATATAATGCTCCGTACCACCTTAGAACCAACGAAAAAGTGGAGCGGTTTGTACAAACTTTAAAAAAAATAATGATTCTAATAAAATACAAGATTTTTTGCTTACTTATCAAAATATGCCACAAATAACCTCAAAATAATTACCAAGTTCAATTATGCTTAAATTTCAACCCATAGGACCCTTAAAATTAATAAAACCAATTTATCCTCTTCCATACCCCAGTTACCAGGTTTTTTAAATATAAATGAGAAAATATATGCATAAGATTTTGAAAAAAATATTTGGATACCAGGTATCATTGTTAAAGAACAGGACCAATGAAATTTTTAGCTAAGATGAAATTAGGTTTATGGAAAAAACATATTAATCATTTAAAATATAGGATCCCAATTTTAAAATAGGGAGGAAGGAAAAGAAGTAGAAACTACCATTAATGAATGAAATTGATCTTATACAAAACTCGATAACAAAAGACATTAATCCGATACAAGACTCGATAATCAAAAACACCATCATAAATGAAAGATTGAAATTGACAGGATCAACCCGCAGTAGAGAACGAAAGTACAATTAGCCGTTATCCAAAACGGATAAGAAAACATTTTACCCTTAGAGTTCAAAAAGGAGAGAATGGATATAATAGAATCAATTAACATTAAAGTCAATTGATAATATGATTAATTGTATTAAAATATATTGTTAATTGTGTTTGACTTAATTGATATATTTAGATTGATTTGTAAATGATATATAAACTGATGTACAAAAATATAAGATATAGTTAAATTATAATAAATTAGTTCATTAATAATAAAATATCACAATAATCAATTTCCCAAATAATAAAAATAACATGGTCAAAAACGCACTAAGGTAATTAAATACTATATAATTGGAAAATGGTTATGAATGCACTCATTAAATAGGTAAGAAGGAATACATCTATAACTGGAATGTGATTTTGATATTTAATGGAAGGGGAATGTATTCTATTTTTAACTTAACCACTCCCCAATATTATTTTTATATGTGTAATCACATCCGTATGATTTTAAATGTATAATATAATTTTAATGAATAGTATGATTTTAAATGTGCATGTCTATTTCTTAAAATAAGATATGTGGTTAACGGCCGTAATATAGCGTTTAATCCATTTTAGATATTCATTTGTTCAAAGATAAAGAAATAATGAAAACTAAAGGAGACTCGGTCAAGGGCAATATAAAAGCAACCCGATGGCTTACCAGCAGGTTAGCGAGATCGAATCCCCAATAAAAATGAGACCACAACATAGTTAGTCTGTCCCTAATTAAACCTGAACTGATTACCCTTTTTTTAATACAAATTGAACCCGATGTAACTCAACCCCTGCAAATAAAAACGGGTTCAAATTCCTGCAAAAAATAATAAATAAAGCATAGACATATAGCCATGTTGGAAATTCCCTTTCCTTCAAAAATTTGTATCATAAATGCCATTTTAAGCGATTAAATTATTTTCCCATATACACCCCATCATATCCCGCCTTTATCTACCAAAATAATGTATACAATATATTACTATAAACAAGAAGTTAAAAGAAATCTGAGAAAAATTTAATAATTTTTAAATGGCGACTATAAAATTTAATGAAAAGATATTTTTATTTAAAAAAAGTCAAATCGAAAATTATTTTTATAAAATATAACATAACCAAAGGCTCCGAACCCGAGCCAATATTTGTTTTGGTTTGGATCCCTGATTAATTATATAACTAATAACCCCCCCCCCTTCCTCTCTTACAACAAAATCCTGGCCACGTTTATGAAATAATGAAAAGTTTAGTTCATAGAATAATATTATTGGTTTTTTGTTATATAAGTATTTTTATTAAAAGAGTAAAAGGAAGGGTTATCCTATTTACTAAATCCCAGAATACAAAAACCACATGATTCGAATATATAACCTGGGTCGCTTCTAAAATACATATTTTTATGAAGCTTTAAGGCTTATTTTTAATAAATATTTTTTCCCTGTGTCCCTAAATCATTTTATTAATATCGTTTCCTTCTTTATCTCAAGCAACAACAAATGGTGAAAAATCAAAATATATTATACAATATGAAATATGATATATAATCAATTTATAATTATCTATTATCATTGTTTATATATTGTTATGTATTTGATGATCCTAGGTTGTTTAAGTTTAATATGCATTTATTTTTGCTCTGATTTATTAGTATTAAAAAAAGACTTACTTTCTAGTTAATTTAATGTGTATTGTTAAATCAACACCATTTTAATTTCTAAAAAATTGCAAAATCAAAGAACGAATTGGTAAAATATATTAAATTTTTGATAAGAAAATTATAAAGATTAAAAAAATCTTTTAAATTATGGTCATTCAATAATTTTGGTTATGAAGGTAAAGAAAGCATTTGAGATATATTTTACATTTGTGTTAAATATTCATGTACATTCACATATTATAAATAATTATAGTAGAATATAAATCAGTGACGAAGCGTCAAGTTCACTACTAAGCAATCAAAAATTTTTTTTATATATTTTAGTCAAACTCAAACCATAAAAACATTAAGATTTATAAATAAGTGGTAATCATCTTTGTTTTTGAGTAAAATGATCAAGTACTGCATTATAAAAGTTATCGCTAGATTTTAAATTTTTTAATAATTTATTTTCAATCAAAATCAAAGATAGATTGGATAATCGATTTTGGCTCATCCTGTTTCTGCAATAAGATTTGATTCTTCTTAAAGATGAAAAACTAGTTCTGCACTTGCTGTTGTTGAAGCCAAAGTTAAGATGAATTTGCATAATTTAAAAACTCTTTTAAACTTTTCATCAAATCGGTGCATATTAAAAATTCAAGTATTTCATTAACATTCTTTTTCTTTCTAAATTCAACATCCCGAAACACTATCTTTAATTCGGTTTCCAGCTTGTGTAAGTCGAAAAATTGAGAATAAGTGCCGTTTAAATTATCTAATAAATATTTTGGGAAATTTTAATTATTTAGAATTTACTAATATCTAACAATTCGACGAATTTAATATATTTTGGTGTAATACATATCAAATAGAATTAATCAATATCGCTTGATAGTCCAATAAAAACTGTACTATTTCTAAATGATGTTTCAATAGTAAATTTTCTTCCGCGAGCAAATAAATTAATTCAATATAATATCATCTATTTACTGAATTAGAAAATTCATCATCACCACGGAATACGAGCTCCTGAATTATAAGAAAACACATAGTTGATCAATATTTTCATTATTTCTCTATTTGATTTGACTTTAGAATTATGCTGTTCAATTGATATTTTGCTCATCGAATCTATCATATTTGCCCAATTTTGGCCAAATGTTTTTAATTAAATCGACTGCAAATGAGCGGTTGATTCTTCATGCCCTTTAAATGCCTTTGAAAAATTATTCATATCCGAAAATCCTTTATCATGCCAAATATATTTTTCCTTTGGAAAAAATAGGCATGACCAACAATATAGAGAATTAGAGAATTAGAAAATTCACATCCAGTGAGCCATTCATATTTTTCATATTTATCGATAGAAAAGTTACGGATGCAAGGATTTCTTTTTTTAAGTTTTGTAAAATTGGTTTTGGTCTTTCTTTCTTAATAATCAATTTTTTCGCATCGAAATTTCTTGAGCTAAATGATAATGTTAATAAATTTTCAATAATACAATTATAATTATTAAACATTAATTAAGGATTTTAAAAACGAAAAATTTTTTATTTTAAAAAAGTAAGGAAAAAAATATTATATAAAAAAATTTCTTTCTCTTTTATTTATTAAAAAAATAAGCATTTTTTAATTTGTTTTCTCAATGCTTATTTTTTAATAGTAAAATTACACAATACCATCGCGTGATTTTCTCTTTATTTATTAAAAAATAAAATATTAAATTTGCTTCCCTAATGTATATTTTTTTAACGTAGTAAAAAATAATGGTAAATTTTTTAAAGTAGTAAAAAATAATAGTAAATTTTTTAACGTAGTAAAAATAATATTAATTTTTTAAAGTTAAAAAAATTATATTAATCTTTTTAACGTTATAAAAATTATATTAATCTTTAAACGTTATAAAAAATTATATTAATTTTTTTAAAGAAGTCAGTTTACTTTATTTAGCATAGTACAAAGATTATATTAAGTTTATTTAAAAATTTTGTAAGAAAAATTTCAAGGGAATCAATGCTTCCCTTGCTTCTATGGACGCTTCTTCACTGATATACTGGACCGACAAACAACATAAGACCGCCGAGATTGAATTGCCTTTTTTAAAAATAATTTGTCATCTTTTAGCACCCCATTTGTAAAAAGTTACCACAACTTCACACGTTAAGGCAGAAGGCAGTATTTTGGGGAGCGTATCATATCGCTGATACAACTATAAAAATATATTTAGGAAATCCTTTCACAATTTAAACTATTTATTTTTATTTTTTTGTAATAAGTCCATTGTTAATTATTATTATTTTCATCTTTCCTAGTCAATTATAACTGAAGATAAGCATTATAATTATTATATTCTATAATTGTTTTTAATGGGGTAATTTTTAACCTATATTTTATAATATAAGTGAATATTTATAAGGGAAGTCGTTTGCTAACAAATATGGAGTTGATGATAAAGATTTATTTTTATCCATCATGCCAACAAAAAAATTAAACTTTTATAGCTTTTATATTATATAAATTTTAATTGTACACCTAATAATTATCATCTAAATTTAGCCAATAATACATATTTGGAAAAATATATTTTTTTAAATTTATATATTTCAAAATCGTATTGATAAAGAAAAATAAGGATAGTTTGTAAATCATATGGTAGAAAACAATAGTCTTTATTTCGATAAAATAAAACAAATGATGATTTGAAATACATTAATATGGTTTTTTAAATTCTGGACAATACATGAAATAAGTGCAATATTAGAATACTCATTTAGAGTTTATGAAATGCATTTATTGCTATAATCAATGTCGGATAAACTCACTCCTGATGAATCTCCAGATTGGGAACGTCCTAATTCTGACTTGTCTAGTCCTGAACCTAACTTTCTTAGTCCTAACACCGCTCTTAGATTATACAAAAGTAAACTATCTCATTATGAACATATTGAAATCACAGATTATGGTCAAATTTATTATCTTGGTGAAAATGCAAATAAAATTGGTGGTATTATGACAGGGAAAGAAAATAATTCAGGATATGATGATGAAAACGGCAGCTATATACCAGTAGTTCATGATCATATTGAATATCGTTATGAAGTATTAAAGGTTATAGGAAAAGGAAGTTTTGGGAGTGTCATCAAAGTTTATGATCATAAGTCTTCACAATATTTAGCTTTGAAAATGGTAAGAAATGAGCCACGTTTTCATAGACAAGTTCAAGAAGAAATTAAAATTTTAGAATTTTTAAAGAAACTTGATAAAGATAATTCTTCCAATATTATTCATATAATTGATCATTTTATGTTCCGTAGTCATCAGTGTATGATGTTTGAGCTACTTAGTTATAATTTATATGAACTCATAAAGAAAAATAAATTTCAGGGCTTTAGTCTTCAAATTATTCGTAAATTTGCATATTCTATTCTTCAATGCTTGGATTTGTTATTTATTCACAGAATAATTCATTGTGACATGAAACCTGAAAATATTTTGCTGAAACAACCTGGTCGAACAGGTATTAAGATAATTGATTTTGGATCAAGTTGCTTTGAAAATGAAATTGTTTACACTTACATACAATCTCGATTTTACAGAGCCCCTGAAATAATTCTTGGATGTCCTTATACAGTTGCTATAGATATGTGGAGTTTTGGCTGTATTTTGGCTGAACTCTTTACTGGCTACCCTATTTTCCCTGGTGAGAGTGAAACTGATCAGCTAGCTCTTATAATTGAAGTGTTGGGTGCACCGCCTGAGCGTGTTCTAGAAAAATCAAAAAGAACCAAACATTTTTTTACTTCTAAAGGCTTTCCCCGATATTGCAATACTAGCCAAGCAGCAGATGGTTCTACTATATTATTAGGGGGGAGGTCTAAAAGAGGAAAACTCAGGGGTCCACCAGGAAGTAAAGACTTTAACACAGCCCTTAAGGGTTGCAAAGACCTGCTATTTGCAGACTTTCTACGTAAATGTTTAACTTGGGATCCTAGAACTAGAATTACCCCACCCCAAGCCCTCAAGCATCAATGGCTGAGACGACGTATACTACCTAAAACACCATCTCAAGGGTTAGATAATCAAACACCTAGCCAAACAGATGATAATGAAGTATTAAGTAAAAAAGCTAGAGACACTCATGCCAAATATGAAAATGATATAAACAGAGAGGAATTAGAAATAAACCAATCTCCCAAATTAGAAAAACCTACTAAATTTTTTTTTGGAAAAAAATAAATAAAATTCCCTTTAATATTTCAATTGTGAGTATTAACAATAAATAAAAACATAGAATTATTAAATACTTTCATCATATATATGGTTTAATAACCGATTAATATATAAAATAAGATGAATTTATTTGTAATATCCAAACACATTTATAATATATCCTGCCCATCTCACTTATTTTCATGCATTTGGCTCTTATTAATGAATTGTTTTAAATCCCAATTTTATAAATTTGATGTTAGCCTAGACATTAATATGCATAATAGTTTTTTTGAATATGGTTTTGATTACATTCCATCATATTTGGTAATCTTTTCTTTTTAAATTGATTATAAATTTAAAAACTAATGCATTTACTATATATATAATTATAACTTTTGATTATATTATAATACCTGTATTTATTGAGTATGATAATTATTTATATTTAAAATTTTCAAATTATTTATCAATTTATATTTTTTAGAAAAATTTGCATTTTCTTGACTACACAAAATATTTATATAATAGCAAATGCTAAATAGAGCTATAACTTATATCCCTTTATATTCAGCTAATAGTATAAATTCTAATTTATTGATGTTCAAGTCCGCTTAAAGTTATATCACTTCAATAAAGTACGTTTTTTAAATACCTATTTTTTGATAATGCTTCTATATATTTTTATGTTTTTTATTATTTTTTTATTTAATTAGTTATAAAGATTTTATTTTAAATTTAGTGAACAAATTATGTTAATGTAAATGTTTGTATCAAATATATTATACAATGTCAGATATGAATATGAACGAATAAATAATAAACAAATGTCTTTTTAAACAAAATCAGTTTTGCGATTTTATACCTTTGAATGTTAATCGGCTAACCCGATATTTTAGTCAAAAGATTTAACGCAAGCATGGAGGTTTTAATCATAGATGGAAGAAAGGTTTTTTCACTTTGTAACGAATTTTAAGGCTTGCGTAATATTTTTTTGTTTAAAATCTTATTGGCTAAATCGAGCAGTTTAGCTAAACTATTTAAGTTGAGATGCATCTTTTGGCATCTAACGATTTATTATTTATAGCCTTTTTAAATTGAACACTATTCCGATTAATAATATCATCATTTTGTAAATTAATTATAACAAAATTACCAACACTTAAAATCGATTAAAATTCGTAAATATTTTGTTGTTGTTTTTTCCTCTATATTTTTATTTTGTTTGTAACAATTTGTTATTTACTCTATTAAGCTTCTTACAAGTTATATTCCCTCGAGTATATAAAATTATATTTACACAAATTTTAATTTTTAACACCCAATGTCAATTATAAAACCTATAATTTTAAGGTGGGATTACATTGCGATAGGGAAATTATATAAATACCATGTTTTAAATAAAATTCCTTCGGTTTATCATCAGACCAAACCTTAGTGATGCTGATAAAAACAAGGAATGAAAATTGGTACAATAGTGATAAGTAATTTTTTTTTAATTAGAGATTAAATTCGGATAAAATGTACTTAATTATTTATATTTTTTTTATAAAAGAAATATGATAAGCGAAAATGCAATGTGGAATGAATTGAAAAAAAAAATTGATATATTTTTTCAGTTTATATAAGTTTAGGTTATACAAACACCCCCCACCAACTTTATTGAAAAAACAATAAATAAAATATGTTTTATATTATATTGCTAAAATATTATAACATCCATATAATGTATAATGGTATACATGTACATATATAGATTACAACATACCAAAACTACACTACCATAATATTCAATTTATTTTATTTTTTTTTAAAAAAAAAGGCTAGATAAATAACATTTATTTTATACAGTGAATCACGATTTAAAAAAAACAAAAATTGAAAAGTATATAACGATCAAGTAATATAGATAAATTTTACAAACAATAAATAGGAAGAAGTTTTTAATACGAAATTACATGGATTTTATTTAAAATTCCTAAAAGTGTATCTATATTATCTAGTATGTATAAAATTTATTAATTTAGTATTTATTTTGATTAATTAAGGGCCTATGGTATTTTTTTTTATCTGAAAGGAGGGGAGAGGGGGGGGGGGCGTTGTTAATTATTTGAAATTTATTAGTAAATCAATAATCTAAAAATAAGGGAGTGAAACCGTTATGTCGATCCGGCATAGGCCTTTAGACCATATCTATTATTCGTTGAACGAATAATGAATAATTCGATTTTATTTATATTACCACCACAACCAGCGTCTACATGAGCGGGAGGGGTAGGAACAGTTTGCATCCTATTTTTTTGAGGGGGTAAGCTGCTTTAATGGGGGTAGGATAAATTTTTTTGGGGGTTATCTATTAAATTTTGAGATGAAATAGGACAAAATTTATTGCTGTAAAAATTAATACTTTTATTATAGAATTATTATAATACAATTATCGACCAAATCTATATATTGCAAACAATCATACACATTGTTTTCCAAATAAAACTTTCTGTTCTCCTTTGTAGAGATAGATTAATTTAAGTTATCTCTATAAATTCTCTGAAAAGAGTATCAATATAATTATAAAGGTCAAAGTAAAAATAAAGAGACACCGCGGCCGAAGGCGGCGGGGATTTTTTAGGGGGGTAGGCAAAAGTCTTTGAAGGGGGTTTGCATCCAATGAAAATCCTGTCATGTAGACGCTGACCACAACAATAACAAAAAAAATTTAAATATTCTATGCATGCCTCAGAATTATATGTAGGATATTTATTATAATAATAATTTTTTTACCAATTTAAAGCAATCATATTTGTGTCTATATAAAAATAGACGCTTGCAAAATATAAATAATAGATTAGATAATATTGCAAATGCAGAAAACAAATTTTTTTTTATTAGGGTGGCTATAATTTTATATTTTAAAAAAAAATCCATACTATTCGCAAATAATTTTAAAAATTAAATACTAATTCGAATATTTGAAGTTTACTAAAAGTTTACAATTCAAAAAAAAAAAAATATGGATAATTTTAAATTATTATTCGTTAAATCATATTTTACTATTATTCACAGAAACCTGGTATCCGAAACACGACGGACCGAAAAATAGCATGATTTTAAAAACCGGACCGGGCTTAAAAAAATTTTGGTTAAAAATCCGGGATGGGCTGAAATGTAACATTGTTAAACGGCTCAATTTAGTCTATTTTAAATTAAGATTTTTGACAAGATAACATCACGCAACCCTCGAGATTTCGTTATGTCCAAACCTTTCTGCCATCCATGAAACAAACTCACTAGTCTTGGTATTTTTTGGCTAAAATATTGGGTTAGTCGTTTTTAAAAATTGAGGGCTGATTTTTTTTAAAAAAAATCAATTAATATCGGTTGGAAAATCTTATAATGGAACTTTTTAATATTATTTACTGCGCATATCCTATGAAATAATTTGGGAAATATATTCTCAACAAAAATAATAAATAATTCCGGGTCGAGCTAGTCAAAAAATTATTATAAATAAAAAACCGGGTCGGGATAAATCTCGAACCGTTTAAAAATAAAACTTTTTACAAACCCGGGCCTGAAATTTCGACCCTTGCTTATCTCTAATTATTGGTATTCGATTTGAATTATTCGTAAATTTTAAATCGAATATCAAAAAAAACATTGATATACCTCCGGTAGCTAACAGTTATTACGGTTAGGTTCCTCGTTTAAACTTTTTATACCAGCGGTTCGTCCAGTTCCCATTACAACGATTAGTTTTGGCTTGAATTTTCTTTTAATATAATCATAGTTGAGTCCAGCAATTTGGACCGAAGGCGGGCTAAAAGATTTCAAAACTTGGAGCCATACCTCAGGTTTAAAAATTTATTTTTATTTATGTGAAACTTTATAGAAATGAATTACAATTAAATTTTTTTTGAACTGGACCGGGTATAAGGCCTGAAAAAACTAAATAAATAATTTGGCGTGTCACGACCAATGATATATATTATACCTAGTCAAATCCCAATAATCTTGATATGACAAAGAGGGTGGTTAAATTCGTAATTAATTTAGGGAAAAATCAAGTTTTAGAAGCACGGAGAGGGGGAATATATTATTGATATATATAAAATCGAATCTTTTTATTACTGAAATAAATCAATACTTAATTTATATTATAAAAATAATGTCACAGTTTTAATACCATAGATATCTATGCAATTATAATATATTTAAATTAAAAAAGTCCATAAATCTTTCATTTCTTCTTTTTATTTGGACTGTATTTTTTGGAAGGATTTCATTCGCCCCATATTATTTTCTTTCAAATTTTGATATATGAATCTAGAATCCATTCTAATATCGAATGTTCATTAATTCCTCAAATTCATAACTTATTACTAGTAACCCTATTAGTAAAATAATAAATCTTATAATTAACTCATAAGAGACAGCTTGTCTTACCACTCGTATACCCCCTAGCATAGAAAATTTTAAATTTCTTAGTCTGAGAATATTCACATACATGATATTTAAATATTATTGACATGTTCCTATTGATTTAATTTTTTTTATCAGTCAATCAATACAAAATGGTTCATTGGCAAAGGGACACCGAAGAACTTGATAAAAAAGATATCCTAATTTATTATTTAATACAAAGTTGAATGATTAATCTTAACTGCCAGCAACCTACCTGTTAAATTTTAAATTTCTATTTAAAACTTTAAAGATTTTTATAAATTGACTATTTATTGCTAGTAGTGTAGTCAAATCGACTCAATCTTGACAATCAAAAAGATTCTCTAAGCATTGAGCCAAGAGTATATTTTTTTTAAGATTGAATTATCCTAAGTTTAAACTTCGACAGAGACAAAAAGGATATACTTAAAAATTCGGTCTTTCTAGAGTCAACTCAAAAACTGCCAAAATGGAGCCATTTATCACTACTACTTGTAATAAAATAATTATAGAAAATTAATTATTTGCAGTTACTGATTGGTAAGCAAATATTTATTTTAGACAAATAATATTTGACTGTTGGATACATTGATTTGTTATTATTTAATTATGAAATAATAACTCAGAATTATTTTTTGATGGGAGGAAAGAAATTCTGCACTCTTTGAATTGATTTAGCAATGCAAATAGTTTGTCAAATAGATCTTATTTGTTATTGATATTTTTTAAAGGTTATTAGATAGAGTTGTTGATAATTGTATATATGGTGGTTTAAATCGTGTAGATCAATTAGAGATAGGAATAACAATAATTATGTTTATTTATTAACTAAAATAAAAAATATAATTTTATACCAAACAACTCATATTTTAATATTCTGTTTATAAAAATAAATTTAATATATAAATCAACCTGCAGAGGTACTATTTATTCTACCCGACCCAGATTTTTAAAAAAAAATGTTTTCTTAGGCCTAACCAGAATTTTATATTTCAAGACCCAACCTGGTCCGAATTTTATAAAAATATATATTCAGGCCCTGCCCGGATTTCTTAATATTTAATTTTTATAGCTAATAATGCTGATTTAAAATATTTGGTTTTGATATATGACCCAGCCCGGCCTGGGTATTTTAAATAAGATGCCCGACCTATATTTAAAAAAATGAAAGTATTGGGCTGTTACTCGAGGCCGAGCTTAGGGCCAGGCCTGCAGGTCTCTGATATAAATGTAATCAAATGCATTTTAAAAATTTAAACGTCGGGCCACTGGCATAAATGATAATAGATTCAATTCTACCACTTTTAAAAATTTATATAAATCTTAAAAATTTTAATAATGTTAAATTTAATTAATAAAATATTAGTTATATAACCACAAAAATTTCTGTAATCACAAAAATATAGTTACATGAAAGTTGATAGTGCTAACAACACGTAAAAGTAATAAAAACTGCTTTTAACAACAGAGGGTAATATGATGTTATATAGAAACAATTTTAAAAAAATTCACTATTAATTTTCTGTATACCATTACCACTACATCTGCATTACATTGAGAGAAAGTTCTATTAAATTATATCAATAAAGTTTATCATATTTTATGTAATAAATTTATATAATATGATACCAATATAATAATAAAAAAATATAAAGCTTACCTAAGAATTCAGTTCACCATAAAAAATGAATCTTAAATATAAAATATTTAGTTAATTTTCTAAATGAATATATACCATGTTTTAATATTTTAAATCCAATTTTATTAAGTACATTAGGCATTAACTATAATTTATTGGGAAAATATTAATTACATATTTAATGATGCAAATTTCACCCAACAAAATAATATTTAGAATAAATGAGTGCAATTAACAGTGTCTATATATCATTCATATTTTTTGACCTTATTTTATATGTCATTTTTATTATCTAATTAAAATTTACATTAAATTTTTATATCAAACATAACCAGGTTTGATATTATATTAAATACATTATGCAATAAGCTAATTTATACGGGAAAATTAATTACAAATTTATTGCTGTTAGATTTCATCAAATAAAATAATATTTTAAATTCTATATCATTGTATATATTATTATAATGATATCTATGCTTATATATTATTTATATTATTGACGTTATCGTTATGTCATTTTAAATATAATACATAAATTTAATACATATCTTTTAGTGGAGTTAACATTATGTAATATTTTTATTTATTTTTTTCACGGCTTCGTACCAATGACATTATGTCATTGCTTTGTACCGAATTCAAATTCAAATTACGTTTGCGATGAAGAAAAGAAAAAAAGAGACAGATATGAAAACAAAGGCACCTTATAAAATAGGTTTATATAAACCAATAAGCAAGATATTAATATATATTTTAGCCGATATAAAATTAGCAAAACATGGAAGAAAAGAAATTGAGCTTGCTGAGAATGAAATGCCGGGATTAATGTTATTGAAGAAACGATATGGACATTCGAAACCTCTCAAAGGTGCTAAAATTGCTGGTTGCCTGCATATGACAATCCAAACTGCCGTTTTGATAGAAACCCTGATTGAATTAGGAGCTGAGGTAAATGCCATATATATATTTTAAAATATATTTTTATAGGTAAAATGGTCTAGTTCTGATATATTATCAACTCAAGATCATGCTGCTGCTGCGATTGCAAAAGCAGGGGTTGCTGTTTATGCTTGGAAAGGAGAAACAGATGAAGAATTTTTGTGGTGCATGGAACAAGTATTTTACTATCCTTATAACATGAATATTATGTTTTTATATTTATTGGCAGACCTTATTATTTCCTGATGATCATCAACTTAATATGATTTTAGATGATGGTGGAGTTTTAACTAATTTGATTCATGATAAATATCCAAACTTTTTAGCAGGTTTATTTCAGTTTTTTTTAGTTATATATAAAGCTACTTTATAATTGCAAATTTATTTTTTTATATGACCTTTTTTAATAATAAAAGATAATAATGTTTAATAATTTAATTTACATGACCATTTTGATTAATCATGTTTAATACTCTTTAATTAAATACTCATAAGCCAATGCATGTTTTTTTACAAGATTGGTGGGTAGATTTTTCTCCAATTTTATTTTTGGGAGGTCTTTTCCTTGAAAGAATTTGGCCTGATTACATTTTGAACAATAAATTCTGTAGTTTTACTTTATTCTCAAAAATTTCAATGATTACTTAAAAAGATTATTAATTTTTACTGTTTTAAATTAATGACATTATTTTAATTTTTTGGGTTAGCATATAGATAAATCAATTTACTCTTGTTAAATGCAAAATTCAAAGTTAGTTTGCTCTTATTAGCTACTATTTTTACTATTTTACTCACATATATATTTGATAAAAATACATATGTTAATAAAAAATTAACATTTGGAATTCTAAAATTAAAAGAAATATATCATGACACAATATATATTCTTCTTTTTCCATTTAGTTTCTTGCATGCACGCGAGCCTCCTTTGGGTAAACTATTTTATTACATTTTGAGATGAAAGTATTTTATATTTATAACTGTTTTAGCATTTTAAAACATGATTATATTTAGGATACTATCCTTTTTTATCGTGTCAATTATTAGAGTCAAAAATATTGATAAGTAAAAATTTGATAGCCAAAGAGAAATAAAAATTTAGAAAATAAAAATATAAGGAGAAAAAAATCATAAAAAGTTGTCATTTAGGATAAATAAAAGTAAAAAGAAATTAAAAATGATATAAAAATAGAAAAGTGAATTAAAATGATAAGAAAATAAATATTATTTTAAAAAGACATAAAAGAATTACAGAAAAGGAAAAGAAAAAAATTGAGACAAGATTAAGAAAAATAGATTAAAAACTACAAAGAGATTGTAAAAAGTTAAAAATAAAATATTAAAAATAAAAAAAACTTTAAATTTAAGAAAAATTGTCACAAGAAAAAAAATTAATATTTAAAAATATTATGATTTTCCTTTTTGATAGGAATTTTTTTATTGGTATTTAAGTCATAAATTCTATTAAAATAATTTTGAATGAAGGAGAATATAGTTCAGGCATATTTTGAAAATCATGCCTTTGTGATTCAAAATGAAGTACAAAGATGTTACTGGAATAAAGGGCAAGCTGCTATTCATCCCTTTTGATTAATTACAAGATACTTAAAAATTTAAATCATGTAAGTTATGTAATTATATTATTGTCACTTATTTATCCTTTATTAGAAAAAAAAGTGATTCTTCGAATTATAGCAAAATTCATAAGCAGGAAATAATAGCTCTGTTAACCAACATAATAATTCATTATCCTATTTTTTGGTATTTTCAAGCCCTAACTTGACTCCTAGGGAAGCGAACCTGGCAAATATTTTGCCTGGGTTTGATTCAGGTTTGGTTTAAGGTTAAAAATAATAGGTGGGTTTGGTTCTGGTTCTGTTCAGGGAAATATATTTAAACCCGGGTTTGGTTCTGGGTTCAGCTCAGGTTTAAGAATTTTTGAATTTATAAAAAATAATATTCTATATTTAAATCATAATTAAAAAACTAGACATAAATTTGGTATAAAAAATATATTTTTTATTTTATTTATAGGCAAAGCATAGTCATGTATAGATTTAAAAAATTTTATTTAGACATATTTCTTTAAATTAACAATATCCAACAATATAATAATTTTTACTTTGACTCACTTTCATTTTTTTTAATTAATAATCTTTGAGAATAAGTTAAAAATTAAAAATAAATGGTGTAAATGAATTTAATTGTTTAAAATTTATTAACAATCCAATAGGAATCTTTGAGAATAAATTTAAATATGGAGTAAATGAATTAAGTTGTTTAAAATTTATTAACACTTCACTTAATTGGAAATTTGAAAATATTATAAATGTCAAGTAAATTATTAATATTTGTATTTACAATTATATAAATTTATATTAATTTAAACAATACTCTGAACCTGGGTACAAATAAAATTTCCTGGTTCGGTTCTGGGTTTGGAAAATTTTGTAAACAAGGTTTGGGTTAGGTTCAAATTTTTTTCCCCAAAACCCGGGTTTTCTTCTTCGGGTTCAGGTTTGGCTTGAACCCCTGTCACCCCAATTAATTTTTTAATCAAAGCTGAGATGCTTACAGGGTTTATCTAACCTCAGAAAACACCATTGTGTTTTGCTGTTTCTTTACTTTTGAAAAATAATTTTTATTCGAACTAATGGCTTGAACTCTGAGTCTAAACCACATGTCTGAACCCTGGGTCTGTGTTCTGGCCTGAGCACTAAATTGGGTCATAAATCAACACTGCCATATGCCAACCTCAATATTTTAATTAGTAATTTTTAATATACCTAACATGCACACAATATGTTTGTATCCATGATTAATGTTTAGTTATTTTTTATAAATGTGAGATATTGCCAATTCTTTGATTTTGTTAAGGAAAATCATTTTATTTTTTGAAGGATATAGGTTATATGTGATAAATTTTGGAAAGAATTATAATTTTCCTTGTTGTTACACATGTTGCGAACACCCAATTTTTTTTCCTCCAAGCTCAGGTACATAAATTTTATTCATTTTATGATTTACTTCACTACCCTTCATTGTTTTTACTCCAAATGCATTTTGATGCAATTTCTAACTAGCTTTGGATCTGGTTTATCTGGACACACTTAAACCAATCTGGACTGGACCTTACCAATACTGAACCCTATGAAATTTAACTTCTATTGTTAAGTAACAGCCATGATAGGCATCAGTTAAATTGTTTATGTTTGGTATTTATCTAACATTATAATTAGTTTCTGTTTCCATCTAGCAGATGAATTTTAAGTTATGCCATCTTTTTAGCTAATATCACAAGTATCTTAGTCACATGATCCCTCTTTAACATTTGATTTAGTAGAAAATATTATACCTTCATTATTTGATACAAATATTATCATAAAATATGGTATGCCCTAGCAAAATTATTGATACCCTTTGAATTACTCTAAACTACGATTCTTAAAAAGCCAATTTAGGTCAATTTTTATAAATGTCCCAATTAAGATTTTAACCAAAATATTATATTTTGCTTATAGATGGCAGAAAGGTTTGGACCTCTATTTGCAAAATCTCAAGCATAATATTATTTTGACCAAAATCTTAATTGGGTCATTTATAAAAATTGACTCGAATTGTGGTTTTTAACAAACCTACCTAAACATTATTTAATATAATTTTATTTTGTGATTTAAAAAGTTTTTTTGCTATTTTATCCTTTACTTTTTTTATATATATAAAATATCTTATTCTAGGGATATTGTTGTAAGCAATTAAACTCTTTTTTAAAAAGATAAATATATAGCCTTAAAAGTTAAATTTTTTTTGAAAAGTATAATAATATATATATGTTTTTAACATTGTGTAAATTTTATTCTGGTAATTAGATACATTATTCATTTTAAAAAAACAAATAATATTAGCCTTAAAAAATATTTTTTTTGAGGCACAAAGTATAATAATATATATGATATATGTTTTTGTCATTATTTATTTAAATTAAATTTTACATATTGGAATTTGACCTTCTATATTCTAGCAATAACATATTATTTATTCTTTTTTTAAAAAAAATAAAAAGATTATCATGATAATAAGAGACATGAAGGTTTTTTTTGTATCCTGTTCCATATAAACATATTTTTGTATTCTGGAGACCAGCATGGGTCTTAATTTTTTGACCAAGCCCTGTGTAGGATTTGTGAAATCAATACCCATTGTAACTTCAATACCATATTGATATTTTGCTATTATAGATTCAATATCATATTGATTTTTATAGAAATGGGGTAGGCAGGCAGTTGTAGATTTTGAAATTATGAAAGTATCAAATATATTAATTTTTTCACATTTTATTTTATCTAATAATATTTTATAAAAATATTGCTATTTGATCGATTGTCATCAAAACCGACTACTAACTAATATAAAATTAAGCATTTTATAATCATTTAAAAAGTGAGTCAAAATATTGTTCATAAATAAAGATTTAATCTTCTTTGCTATTGCGCCAATTTTTTAATAATGTGTTTTGTGTTGGGGATTAGATCTCTATGAGAAAAGCTAGTCTATTCTATCATTTTTAAGATGTCTTTCCTTTGATGATATTTAATAGAAAAAAAATTAAATATTTAATAAGTGGTCGGTTTCAAATGGTTATCGGTCAAATCACGATATTTTAAAAATATTTTAAACGTATTTATAGAGATATATATAAAACAAAAATGAACATTTTTCAATTGATATTACTAGCAAATTTGGTCAATAGAATATTTAGTAAGTAGTCAGTTTTGAGCTCGGTAATGGGTCAAATCAAAATATTTTCATAATATATTTTACGATAATGCTTCACACGTAAATATACGTGTATTAAACAAAAATGAAGAAATTTTGATTAATAACACCAGCAATATGTGCCTTACAAGTTTTCTATTATTTTTCGATTTTAACCTACTCATAAATAAAATGTCAAAGTATCTCTTTTTTTTAAACTTTTTGGTTTTTCACATGTATTTACACTATAAGAAAAGCGCTAACCAATGATTCGGATTTCCTAAAATGATATTTTCATATTTATGCATTTAACGCCCTCTTATGGATATATATTTGTTAGATTTTAAATATGATAAATAAAATTTGAGATGTAATAATCTAGTAAATATATTTTTTTTTCCCCATTAATATTAAATAAAAATATGTATTAAGGCTTTATTAAAAATAAATTGGTAAATGAATCATTTTATCTTAATATTACATACTAACAACTAAGATCTTCATAATACCTACCTCTTTATTTTTACTCATTGCTTTGAAATAAATATATAAAAACAAATATTTACTTTTTTAATTAAATATATTGATTTTTATTATTTTTTTTTAAAAAATAAATTTTTATAAATGTACTATTTTATTTTTACATTTAAAATAGGTTCTTATTTTTTTTTTTTCGAAATTTATATTTTTTAGAATTTGGACACAGCCTAAAAAAATGTTTCTGAAAATTATTTTTTAAAAAAGGATTATATAAAATAAAATTTTGGTTCATTATAATTAATTATTTAAGTGTATTTAGGCAATCATTTTGTTTACAATACTGAAATTTATTATTATTAGAAGAAAAATATTTCTTTAAGTTAGCAACTGTTTTCTTTTAAATATGCTAAATTTAATAATTTTAGACCCGCGCCCATTAAAAAAATCAGACAGTCTTGCTTCATGATATCAGTTCCATACCCGGCCCATGGGCCTGCGGGCTGGTCCAGCCCATGAGGATATCTGGTTGATAAGAGCTGTTTTAAAATTTTAATGAAATAATATACTAAATTTTTTAGAAATTATACTTTGCACACAATATTATTTTTATATCTAAAATGAAAGCTTATTTATTATTTTTCGATAAAGTTTCAAATGTTTGCAAATCGAATCTTTTGATATTATGGACCCAGCCTTAAAAAAATTAATTTCTATATAAAAATAAATATTTATAAATTTTTAAAATAAAAAAAAATGGGTGCTTTAAATCCATTGGAACAAAAGTTTAATTTTTAACGTGCTTACCACCATAAATAAGAATGTGCTCCTCGCCTTTTCGGTTAATGTTAGAGACTTCCGGAGGTAGTCTTCCAATCGTAATTTTACATTTTACGTGATTGACAGCTCTAAGCTCTTTAGCGTTGACAAGCAACAGAGTTGCGCTAGGTTTTCTTCAAATCCATCAAACTGAAAACGCGCGTACAAGTGGAGAGACCATAAACATGTAAAGGACTATTCATTTCCCCCCCTACATTAAATGTCCTAGGACTATTGATCAAACGTCTATGGTCCAAGATAAAAAGAATTGCGCAAATATGTAAATACTTTATGGCGTAGAGGAAGGGCTGATTCTAATTTTAAACATTTACGTTAAATAAATAAAATTTAGCGGTGTTGATATTAGTATTATTAATAAATTGAAAGTCTTGTCTGGCTATTATTTACATTTTAACTATAGCTAGTGTTGAAAATGTTGGTTTGTTGTTGGTAGCATGAATTTAACAAAAAATTGAAATTCAACAAAGAGAATTGATTGGCGTTAAAAATTTTGATAAGTAAAATTTTCTTCCTTTAAACCAATCACAACATTTTACAAAAAATGATTGACATTGTATATATTTATTTATATAAAAATGAGACCCGCGATGACAAATTGGTATGTTTGCACGCAAAGGATTGCAAATAAAATTAATATAATCTTGATTCTATTTTGGTAGCATTTCTTAAAAAAGAAATAACGTGACCGTAGCTCTGAAATGCTTTGTGTTTTATATATATTCTAATGATTTAGTGTATTATATCTACTGAATTGGATATCCTAAATGAATAAAATTTAATATTTATTATTTAACTTCTAGGTTCCTTCACTCATATGAAAATTGTTTTCACTTATCAATTGATCAAATTTTATGTCTATTTGCACCTGAAAACCTAATCCTTTACATTTTTTTTGTTTCGATCGTATTGCCTTAATTATTTCTTTTTATGAAACGAATCATTTAACTTTGATAATAAAAAAATTCTTTACAAAGCCATTAATATTTGCAATATAGGATACTTATAAGCTTTAATATGTTATTTCTGTTATAAAAATTTTTCTTCATAAGTACTTATAAGATTAAGGTTAGTCATAATAATATAAAGATATATAATTTTTAATGTTCCTATTTATTGTTTATAATAATTTCAGATCCTAGTATTTTCAATATATACAAATATAGGTACTATTTTTAACTATGAAATAAGTCAGATTTAATATATATAAATAATTCATAAATTAAAATCATAATTGAAAATTTGCAATCTTAACAAAATTATTCAAATATTTTTAGATCTATAATTTTAAGCTTATATTAGTAAAAAAAGTCTCAAAATTAAAATATTTATTATATTCAATTTATTTATATTACACAAAAATTTACTACATTCTTATTATTTTAAACTTATCTAATTCTCTGAATTTACATTGTGAAATCAATAAAAAAAAAAGAATAATCTGAAAATGTAATAATATTTTTTAGACCAGGCATATTTATACTGAATAATACATTAATTTTATATTATAACAAGTCAAAAAGAAATTACAAGTCAATTGATAATTGCCATAAATATCTCTTATTTACTAAACATATAATATAATTTTACTTATTCCTACAAAATTAGGTTGCTCAAAGACTTGAATCTTACTTTTACTAACAAATTGCTATCCAAAATGTGGAGAAGTTGACCTAATTGTTATGGAAGATTAAAATATTACTTTGCCCAAGAGTTGAAAACTCCAGCTTATATTTTTTGGCTCAGAATCTGAAACCTCAGCTTATACCCAAAGGCCCTTTTAAGGGCCATTTAAAATTTTATAGAAGAAAATGGCCTAAATATAAGATATTCAAAAGAATGCAGTATGATTATTAATTCGACTTTATCAGAGACCTGCAAAGGTACCATTTGCACGGCTCAGCTCAGCCCGGATTTTTTTTAAAAATTTTCTGCCCGGGTTTTATATTTAATAATTTGGATTTTAAAAAATTATCAGACCCAACCCGGATTTTTTAAATAGATTATTTTTAATTTTTTTCCGGGTATTTTTTTGGTCTTTTTATTATTCGATCGAATTATTCAAAATAATTCGTAATTTTTTGTAGGGTAGGCAAATTTTGTGATTTTTTTAAAAAAAAATTATAATATAAATCGCGATTTTTTAAAATTTATATTAATTACTAATATTTTAATAAGAGATAAATACACATTTTTAAATATCATTTATCATAAAAAAATTTTTAATATTTCAGGAGATCCAGTCAGGAAATTGTTGAAAAAAAATATATATTGATAAGTCATGAGCCATATTTTATCAAATAAGCAATGCCTGGGCCAAGTAATGTCTCAAAATTTTTTTCTAAGTCAGGCCGGGCAAAAAAAATTAGTGGGCTGGATTATTGATAACTTCTAATATTTGATAGAAGTGTTAAACTCTAAAGTGTAGTGTTTTTAATTTAACAATTCCACAATAAATAGTTGTTTATTTTGATGTTTCAAATTACATATATTTCCGGTTAGGCCTTGTATTTTAAATATTAAATAACGAATCCCATTTATTGATTAACCTTTTTAATGATGGATAATAATGAATTAATAAGCATTTTCCCATATTGTATATTTGATTTGCACATTTTGTTTATTGTATAGTTTTATACATTAAAAAATTGTAAATTTGCATAAAGAATACAATCAGATATGATTTGGGATCGGTAATCAGCCGATATCAATTTATTATCGGATCGGTAATGAGCCGATATCAATTTAATATCGGATCGGCTCGTGGTATATATATATATACACCTAATTTTAATAAAAGAAATTTTTTAAAGATTACCTAAATAACATCTGAAAAAAACTTCCTATAGGTATCATTTATTTTTGAATTGTATGAATTTTTACCCATAATTTAATGATTTCATTATTTTTTAATAGGCATTGTAGGAATTTCCGAACAAACGACTACTGGTATTAATAATGCTAGGATTATGCTCAAGAGAGGAAATTTAAAGCTTCCCCTTATCAATGTCAATGATTCCGTCACAAAAGTTAATCTTAGGCGTTAAAACTATGCTATGCTTATATGTCGTATTTGGGATATAATCCATGAAAATCTCTGAATCTCAATTTTGAATCATTTAATGGGAGCTATCTTTAAATTTTAAAAACCTGATTTGACTGGAAATGTATTTCAGCAAGTATAAAGTATCCACACTATGAATTTCGAACAATTTTGTTGTAACCTCTATACGTACTCTTAATTTATAGTTATTTTTATACGTATTTGTCATATAAATTTAAAAAAATACACAAATATTTATGGCGAAAAATATCTGAAATTGATAAGGTTGGGAATACATTCTCAGCCCAAACGGATTTAAAAAATATTAAAATCATCTTCGGTAATTTAAAATTTAGAGATTTCATATACCAATGCGACATATTTATATTTATTTTGTATATATTTTCAATTTCTGCTCTCACTCATACCCAAAATTTTTTTTATTCATTGTTAAAAAGGAATAAATTGCGAGAAACTAATAATATTGATAAGTTAACTATGAGAATAAGTGAAAGGGATTCCTTCGGACCCAAATCCATCATATGCTTAGGGTTACAATTAGCAAGAAAGTTATTTTCGTTTTAGATGGACTTTATTAAACTAAATAATATTTTCGTTTTTGTTTTATTAAGAGTTCATAAGTTAGCAAAAAAATACCCAAAAATGATTAAATTTTTTTTTAAATAAACGGAAATGCTAGAGAAAGGGAAGAAATGGGAAAAGAATAGGAAGAATTAAATAAATTTTAATTGTTTACATTCTCTACATTTTAAAATAAATTAAGAGCAAATTCGATAACTTGTATGGCTGTCGTGAATCCCTATGTGACGGCATTAAACGCGCTACGGATATAATGGTCGCCGGTAAAGTGTGTTTAGTGGCTGGTTATGGTGATGTAGGAAAAGGCTCGGCTCAGTCATTGAGAGGCCTAGGGGCTCGGGTCATCATCAGTGAAATCGATCCCATCAATGCCCTTCAGGCCGCTATGGAAGGTATGGAAATCTTTATAGCAGACCAGGAAGATGGAAAGGAATGAATAAATAAAATAGAGAACCTGTACATAAAAGGATGGAAGGAATACAAAGAAAGAAGCTTAAACATCTGATTAGTCAATTTATGGAGAGGGGATTATAGTTAGTTAGATGTTCTGTAATTTCCCAAATATTTATTTCACTATTATACAACACGACTATCTATAAAATAACACCACTCGACTATAAACAAACGCTCTTATATGATTAGAGACTTTCAGTGTCTAGGCCGGCCATGGTTGGGATGGGCCTAATACAGTGTTGTGATGATTTAGACGATTAAATTAAAACCCATCCATATAAAATTATAATCTTTGCAAAAATAATTAAAATAAAAGGAATAATAAAAGAGATTTTAATAATGCTTTGTAGAGGTGGACGCGGGCCGTGAAATTAGGCGTGGCGTGAGTGTGAATAAATTTTAAATTCCAAGGCGTGACGGGCTTTCCAAAATTTTCCGCGGGCGTGAACCTAAATTTCCGTGAATTACGGAAATTTTAAATTTTAAAATTGATTTTTATAAATATAAATTTGCAATTTTATAATAAATATATTTTCTTTAGTTCTTTTTTAAAAAAGAATAATTTATGAAAACTAAAAAATCTTCTGCATTTTATAAACAACATCCGGTATCATTTTGTTAGTTCTATTTTCTTTTTATGTTTAGGTGTTTTTTATCGCTAGACTTTATGCTAAATTTTGCTTAAACTTTTTACAGAAAAGTCAGTTATATTTTATTTGTAAAGATCTTCAATCTTTAAATGCAACAGAAAGTGAAGGATTTTACAAGCTAGGCCAAGAGATAAATGTTGGTGTTACATATGGATAACAAAATATAAAAGTTGTGAACCGGAAAACTCTCATGAATACTATAGGTCCAAAAATATACGATGAAATAAAATTTAAGATTAAAAGCATGATCATTGTCCACAATCACTGATATTTGGACGGATGACTATAAAAATCTAAGTTTTTTAACCATTATAGGACATATTAACATTAAGGATTTTAATTAAAAACATTTGTTTTGGCCACAAGGGCAATGGATGAAAAAAGCGTCAAAAAGTGTAGTCAATTCAATTTTAGGAGAATATACAGAAGTGGAAAATTACTTAAATAAATGTATAGTTGTGAGTGATAGCGGAGCAAATCTTATAAATGCATTCAAAGATGACGAAACGTTAGCATGTATATGCCATATACTAAATAATATTATGCATTATATTTTTGACAATTGTTTAACTGAAATAGCCTTAAATATAAATGATGTAAAAAAAATAGTACAATATTTCAAACACAGCTAATAGCAAACTAAGCCACACCCTTAAACAATATGTAATAGCGAGAATAACGAGATGGAACTCTGTATATATCATGATACAGAGTTTCTTAAAATCATATTCTGAAATACAGGTGTACTTGTTTAGCAAGCAAGAATTAAATAGATTAGCCACAATTGATATCAGCATCATACGCGAGTTAGATAAATTTTTATCAATATTTAAAGAATGCTCGGCTGAGAGCAGATTCTCGTCCCACAATAAATAAAGTTTGTCTATGGAAACAAAAATTAATAAAATTTTGTTAACCTTCTGAACGTGATACAATAATAATCAAAACCTTAAAATACAGAACAAGATTTCATTTAAAAGATTATTATGCAGCCACTATAGTAGGCTTAATTCTAGATCCGAATTTCAAAAGACTTAAGTTTTTAATAAAAGAAGAAAATGATATATATAAAACAATCTTAAAAATGCTAAATGATATAAAATTAGATGATATGCATAAGTCGATGCCAACTACCATTTATAACTTTCCTAACTTATCCTAAACTCATAAAAAACCATATAATCTAAATGATCAATACCAACTATCACTTTCCTAATTCATCCTACACTCATAAAAGACCGTATATTTCTAGATGATTCTGATGACGCATCAACATCACCGATGAAAGCTGTGAGGATGAACTTAAAAGATTCATATAAGATAAATAAAAAGACAATATTTTGATTTTGTAAGCAGGAATATTCATTTCCTTTTTTGAGAAAATTATCAAGTAAAATTTTGTCAGCTGCAAGTTCGGCTTCTAGTGAAAGGTTATTTTCTGTAGCCAATCTCTTACTAGAGGAAAGGCGTACACAATTGAAATAAAAAAAGATGGACATTCTTCTTTTTCCAAATAAATTTCGATTTATAGATTGTATTTATTTTTTGTTATTAATATGAATTATGAAATTAGAGAAATAAATAGAATGAATTCAAAAAAGTGAAAAATTATAGCAATACTTTTGAAAAATTTAAAAACACCGTGAATTTTCGGGCGTGAATCAAAATATTGCTTGTCGTGAGTGGGCAGGTCGGGTCGAAAATTTTTTAGTGTTAAGCGTGTATGGGCGTGATATTTTTTTATTACCACCGTGAGCGGGCGGGCCGTGAATAAAAAATTAGGCCCGCGCCCACCTCTAATGCTTTGTCTTAATTATTTTTGCAAAGACTATAATTTTATATGTATGGGTTTTAATTTAATCGTCAATATGTTTCATTAAATCATCACAACACGTAGTATATATTCTAATAAGTATGGCCTGGGCTTTTGAAATTTTTTTTAATGGGCTAGAAAATTTTTTATTTAATATTAAATACCGGCCAGCACTTTAAAAAAATTTTTTACAGCTGGCTTGATTATAAAGTTAAGGCCCGTGGAGGTCTCTGATATGACTAGACTATAAAGATATAAATTACTGTGATTTATGAATGAAAGGCTATGAGGTAAACACTATCGAGAATGTAGTGGAGCAGTGTTCCATTTTCGTTACCACAACCGGATGCAAAGATATCATAAGGGGCCCCCACTTCCTTAAAATGCGGGAGGACGCTATAGTGTGTAACATAGGCCATTTCGATACAGAGGTAGATGTTAAGTGGCTCAATGCCAATTGCTGTAAAATGACTAACATCAAACCTCAGGTATACTATGTTTTACAGATTTATAAGTATATATTTATATATATGCCTTTTCTTTAAAAATATTTTTGTAAAACATTTATATTGAAGTATTTTTAATAAACTTTTTACTTTTCTTGTTCCGTTTTTTGAAAGAACTATTAGCTGACCACCAATGCCAAATAAATATGAAATTTCTGATATGTCCATAAATTATTAGGTCTATCAGCACTTCGTTTATAGCCATTTTGCCAAAAAGGCTAAAACCCATATTTAATAGAAAATGAGCAAAAATGTTAGGAAATCAACAAAAGTAATAACAAATGACAAAAGTAATAATAATAACAGCTTCGCCTAAAGGTGCTAAAGAGTGAAATTTAATAGCAAATATTCAAATGATAATAAATAAGCAAATGTAATAGTAAATTAGAATTTAAAATGAAATGAGCAAATGTATTAGCAAGTAACCTTTTCGCCCGAATGCGCGCCATCCTGTATTTTTTCTGGAAACTTTTTTCTCTGACCTAATATTCTAGGAATTAGTTTATAATATATTATACTAATAAATTAAAAATAACAATTTTGTTTAAAGCATATTTTAAATAAATTTTTATTATGATATGAAATATAGCATTTAAGACAATTTTGCCTTATTTTTGACACATCCCAAAAATTATCATAAAATTTTTATTTATTTAAATCTTCAAAATTTTCATTTTATAATTAATTTAATACTAGCGTTAAATGTCTAAAATACTAAAACTGATTAAAAAAAATGAGTAAGATAAAGCAATATTAAAATGGGAGTTTTGTGCTTTTCCCAACCATTATTCAAGCAAAAAATGAATTTAAAATAAAAATTTCGTTTGTTTGAATAATCGAAAACAAAAAAATGTTTAGAATTTATTGTTTTGTAATTTCTATTTTTTTTTAAAAAAATAGGTTGACAGATATCTTCTTCCAAGCGGTCGTCATATTATATTACTCTGCCAGGGTAGGCTCGTAAATCTAGGCTGCGCTAACGGTCATCCCAGTTTCGTTATGAGCAATTCTTTCAGTAATCAGACCTTGGCTCAAATCGAACTTTGGACCAGACAGAAGGAATACAAAAAAATGAAACCGGCTATACATTTGTTATCGAAGAAGGTAAAAATTATTTTTTCATATCTAAAGGTTCTTTTTATCTGAAATCTTGGAACGCGGTTATAATCCCTATTTTTTTTTATAAATATCTCTTTAATAAAAAAAATGGCTTAAGGATAAATATTAATTGATAAGTATGTAATATAAATTTTTAAATATCTCATGACATGTTTTTTAAAAATTATTAATCATAATCAAGCCTGGCTTAAATTTTATCTACATGAAAAGAGAAAAGATGAGCAAACTTGTAGTTTTATATGTAATTATTTTTTTAGTGTTTTATAAATTTTTGGCAGGGAGGTATAAGTTATTAAGAGTGATAATAATGATCCCATTATTTATATATATATATATACCGTTGTTTAAATACTAAGTTGGACGAAGAAGTGGCCAGATCTCATTTGGATCATTTGGGAGTCGTTCTAACGAGGCTTACCAAAGATCAAGCTGAATACATTAATGTCCCTTTGGATGGTCCTTATAAACCAGATTTATACCGATATTAAAATTTTATAAACACTTTTTATATATATATATATTATATATACAGTATTACAAATGAATTGTCAATTATTTTTTCACAATATCCTTTCATTCGTGGAATTATCAAAAATATTGAATACCTTTTTTTATCACCCTAATTTGCTTTTAACACCCTTGATCTATGCATATTCATTTAAGATCAAAATATTTTATTTTATTTGGAGAAACTCAATAAAATATATGTTTAAATAACACTAACCAGCAAATATGATTGACCTACACAATATACTAATTATAAAAAACATGATATTTGATTTTTTTTGTTTTGATTGATAAGTTATAATATTATATTTGATGATTAATTATAGTTATTTGCATAAAATATTTTATTTTATTCTAATTTTTTGCAAAATTTTTCCGAAAGGATTCAAATTTTTTTAGAATCATTCCTTTGGATTTATCGAATAATGATAATCCATAGAATTCTATGTCTCTTATTGAATATTTATCTCATAGATTATTGAAACATTCTTCGTATATATTTACATATCACGCATTCATCATGTATATCTTATATCGTGTGCAATGATGAACAGATTATACCTTTAGTATAATACTAAGACATGGGCAAGGGTATATGATTTGTCTTGAAAATGAAGAAATCTCCCCTGATTGTTCAAGGTAATATCTATCCGAGTTTAGGCTGGTTTATGCAGGGCTATAAAGTATACAATAAAGTTTGTGGTATCATTTTAAGACCAAGATTTTCCAAAATCAGACAAGTGCCAAGACTAGAATTGTTGCAATATTGCTTATTTTAAAATTTTCTGATTTTCACAAGTGGCAATAATTTAACATTCTGAAGTTTGAGATTTCTTGATATTATCATTTGTTTTATACATTACTATAAGCCCTAAAATAATTTTCATTAGGATTTACAAAATACCATGTGAGACCCTTTTTTTTCAAACATTAAAAAGAGTCTTAAATATTATTTTAATGAAATATTAAAAACAAAAAGTTCGTTCATCATATGTAGACCTGAATTTGAGATAAGGTGCCCCCCCCCCTAATCCGAAGATCTATTAGACAAGCAATAAGAGGAGCATTTCAATCTTTTTGAATGTTAGAAGCTGGAGGAAATTCAAAGGACGAACAGTAATTTTCCAAAGAGTAAAGACTGATGAAAGATCAGGGTCTTTGAGAGAAGAGATGTGGTTAATTGTACTGAGGCAGGAAGAGATAAAGGCGGGTAGAGGAAATTGTAATAGGGATCGGACACCGATATCGCTAGGAAGAGAGGTTTGAAGCTAAGGTAGGTAGAAAAGTTTAAATTACAACTCCCCTTTGAATCGGGAGATTTAAGTTTCACGAGAGTCTAGGCGATCATTGCATTTAAAAATAGGTGAAGAATTAATAATTCGAGAAGCCGTCAACAAAGTTAAACCCTTCTCGGTAGGTAGAATTACAGTGTCAATTTCTATATGTATTTTCTCATCTGTTTTGTCATAAGAGAAACAAAAAGTTTTATTTTTCCTTATTTTCATTTCATATTTTATTATCAACTATAGAATAAAAGTTTTGTTGTTTCTCATTCTAGCAATTTTTATAATTATTAGAAAATTAAAGGATTTAAAAAAATAATAATTTGTGAAAATATTAAAACCAAAATAAAGGCTAATAAAAAAGGATTAATCGGTGAAGAAATGCAATAACAATCGAAGGTGATGGCATGTTTAGGATTTTTACTTTGTTTCAATGGCGTCAACTTTACGGAGGCGCTGGGGCTCTCCATCTATTGAAATGTTCTTATAATGTAGATATTATTGATTTATTAATATTTCAAATATCAATTTTAAAAAATTTACAACCTCCATAGGAAGTTTCCTTTTAGAGAGTGAGGTTAACCTAGCTAGTAATAGTGATAAATGGTCCCATTCTTAGCAAGTTTTGAGCCTACACTAAAAAACGCTAAACAGAATTTTTTTTTCATAGATAACTATCATATTAATCTCGAAAAACTTGAACTGAGAAGATAGTCCAATCTTGAAAAAAAATGACAACTCCCTCAAGGCTTAGCAAATATTTAAAACTGTATGAATTGAACCGTAACATAATTAGGAATTTAAAATTTTCAAGTTGGTAGCATATTAAAATTCATCAATTTAATTTGAAAGAAATGATAAATCAGGTTCTTCGGTGCACTATTGCCGATGAACCATTTTTTATTGATTGATTGATACTTTAAACAAAGTATGGAAACATCCTTAAGCACTATTAAGGTGAAAGGACTTCTACCAAAATTTCTGGTAGAATCGTGGTCCGGCCCAAACGTATCCTGGCGACTGAAATCTTTTCAAAAAAAAATACAGCCCAATGGAAACGAAAGATCTATAGAAAATTTTTTAATCAAAAATTAAGCCCCCCCCCTCCCCCCCCCACACACAAAATTTCTAAGCAATACACCGCTGCTGTGATGAATTTAAAATTGGTATTCCTTTATTTTGGTGTCCAATATTAAATAAAAAAATTTATATCTAATTTAATTGTATTTCAATAATATTATTATATTAAGATATGATATTTATGCATGATTTAACTGATAAGCTACCCAGATTCTATCACTGTATTTAAACATGATGTATTCATACGATTCTGTTCTACAAATATTAAATGATTGAAAATATCATTTTTTGTTTCTTAAATATTTACAACTTAAAATCGTGATGTAAAAATTTTTTCTTTTTGTCAAAAATAAAATATTTTTAGACGAATTAAATACTTGTTTTTACCTCAGATACAATAGAATGCTGTTTAAAATCAATGAGAGCATCTAAGTTTTAATCGGATAAACTGACAATTCGGGTGTGTGATTAGCCCCAATCTTTTTTATATTGCCTAATAGGTCTAGACCATTGAGCAAGCTATGAGCAAAATCTTCAGGCTTATGTAATATTTTTCTGGATACAATATTGTGTTAGCTGTATTTAAAAATCGGCTCAAATCGAGCCGTTTAACAAAATTAGTTACCGCCTTGTAGTATTTTTATATATCATTTTACATTTTAGAAATATATTAAAGACAAAATTATAAATGGAGAGGATAACAATGTATTTTAAGGTATCACGTCAATTCGGCGCGGAAAACTCGGCGCACGACAATTCGGCGCATGCGTCAATTCAGCGCGGCGACAATTCGGCGCAACGTCAATTCAGCGCGGCGACAACTCGGCGCAACGTCAATTCGGCGCAACGTCAATTCGGCGCGGCGACAATTCGGCGCTACGTCAATTCAGCGCGGCGACAATTCGGCTCAGCGTCAATTCGGCGTATATATAATTTGCTTCAATTTATAAGTATTATGATATTTTTAACAATAAAAAACAATAAAATTATTCTATACGTATCATTATTAATAAATAAAAATGCATTTCAATTTATTAAGGCTAAAAAAACCAATGATTTAGGAAGCCCCTTGAATTTGCCTCACCCCACTATTGGGGCTTTTTGGATATTATTTTTACTTTTTCAAAAAGTAAAATTTAAAAAAAATGATTATATTCTTAAAATTTTTATAAGGTACATTTATAGTATAGTTTTAGGAGGTATCTAATCATATATTATTTTTTATATTATCTAAAAAAATCAGGAGCTAAATTTTGTAAAAATCGGTCCGACTAACCCCAGTCTCCCCTACCTTATAATGTGGTAAATTGGTCCAGCAAGGAAATCGGTATAAATATTGGTTGTTAATTTTTTTTTATTGATATTACACATTTAGTAAATAAAATTGAGATTTTTGTAAAAAAAATATGAAGAAATAATTAATATGATCAACATTCAAAATCATTTCTATTTAATCATCCTTTTTTTTATACTAACAAATTTATAATAAATTGCAACTGTATTAGATACATGCCGAATTTCGCCGCGCCGAATTGACGTTGTGCCGAGTTGTCGTCGCGCTGAATTGACGTTGCGCCGAATTGTCGCCACGCTGAATTGACGCCGCGCCGAGTTTTCTGCGCCGAATTTTCCGCGCCGAATTGACGTGGAACCTTATTTTAATTAATTTTATTGCCCTTGATTTAATTATATATAATATTCTATCTCTGCGGTCGAAAACTTGTTTGATTATGACTGAGTGAACATCAAGATATATATTATGATACACTGACCTAAAACATATTGCACAATCTATGATAAAGTGTAATATAAGTATAGCCATGCCTAATTTGTCTGAAAAATTATTCCATTTCATATCCATGTAATAGTAATAAAGCCACCATCTTTAAAAATATCCTCTAATAAAATTGAATAATTCTTTTTGAGATATACATTTCTTTTTTTGGTTAAACTAGGAAAACATAATTTATTTGCTATTTTAATAAAACTATTTATTCACAGAATTACTCGTAATTTTTATTTATAATTACAAATTTTCACTTTTCCTATTATCAAAAAATGTTTTGTTTTGTCGTTATTAACAAATCTATTTAATTCAGGTTTATAACCTTTACTTCAATAATAATCAGGATCCTAATTATGTTCAATATCCATTAGGACGAGAGATGAAATCCCAAAAGAGTAGGATAAATAATTAAAAATTAATGATTTGATAGAAAATTAAGGTGGGGGGGGGGGGGGGAGTTCAATTTTTTTTAAATATACAAATTTTCATATATGATTCAAGGCCAAAGTCTCTCTTCCCCTTTGTCTACGCCATTGTTTACTGCTATTTTTTGGAGAGAAAGGAGTGGAGAGTGTAAGTAAATAATTTTTATTGGGTTATATGCAAATCTCCAACGGAGAAAGGGGCACGTCCTATCCCTTGGCTATGTCTATGACGATAACTCTTAAAATTTAATGTTTATTATATATTTCAAAATATGATATAAAAATGAAAAATTTTTTGACCTCTATTTTAAAAAGCTTTTCTGAAATTAAACATATTTTTTGCCCAGCATATATTTTATTGATATTGTTACGAGCCAGAATGGGCCATGAATTAGTCCTGAAAACTTTAATTTGGTGCCTTCACGTTAAATCATAAATTACTATAAATATATTTGTAGTATTTTTATAAATTAGGATTATTTTACATTTTTAAACATTCATAAGCACAAAAAACGAGAGGTGGGGGCCATTAGTTATATAAAATTAAATGATTTTTATTAATCCATGAGTGTAAGAGAATATCTAACTCCTATCGAAATTTTTAAGTTTTATTATCCTATACAATTGCCTTCTAGATAATGTCTCCTAATTATCTGAAGTTTTCAAACCCTCAAACACAAATGATGAGGGGAAATACGAGATTTATTATTTTATATAAGGTTCAGAGTCTGACTGGCCATAGCGAGTATTTTGCCTAAAAGACCGCTATAAAATCTCGATAAGAAAAAAATATTTATTTATTTATCTTTTTCTCATAAAATTTAATTGGTTTATTTTTAATTATATTTCCATTCTAACATTTAAAATATAACATTTATACATTTCTTGAGGATTATCATTTTGATGCGTTTCTGTTTAAATAAAAGTTAAGTCTTAATTTTCTTTTTTTTAATTCTTATATTCTACAGCTATACTCATTACTAAACACATATATGGCTTGGGTGTAGTTCCACCCTCATATCTGTGTTACAAGGTTTGCGGCATAATAATATGAAGGATGGGCCTTTGTATAATTCACGTACGCTCACCTTTGGGCAGGGCTATGACCAACGTGCAAATAAAGATAAAGAAAGAATATATTTTTATAAATCATTTATGGAAATAAAATTAAATTGACTTTAAAATGGTAAATAAAAAAAATCAACAGATTTGTAATAATTATTAATATAAAACAAATATATTGATATACTTAATTTTTAGTTAAACAACACTTATCCCGAGGATCAATGAAACGCTTAGAAATTTTAAGAAATCCTTGAGATGATATATAAAAAATGATAAAAATGCTCAGATAACACTTAAAAGAATGCTGTTTTCAACCGCAAAGATATATAAAAGGTCTAAATTTGTATAAAACAAAGGGATAGAGGTTATCTAATAAATTTGTTGTCAAATATAACCATTAATAGAGATATCAAATGTTGTTTTAGGTAAGGTCATGACGAATCAAATATATAATTTATTTAACCAGAGTTTGCAGCAAAAGCTTCAAAAATAGATGAAACAAGATGGTGCGCACATGAAGCACTTATATTACTATATTGTCAAAAGAACCTACTTCCGACTGCTAAAAGTACTCTATATTATACAATTAATAATAAATCGTTTGAGGAGAAATCTAATCAGTTGAATGAAAATCTGTGCAAATTCAAAACGTTAAATCAACTCTCATTCTTTATTTTTTGTAGTATCTCATAAACAAGAAAATGAGTCCTAAACAAAGAAAATTTAACAAATCTGAATGGATCGAAAGCAATATTGACAAATGATGTCACTTCTATGTCACACCAAGACAACATACCGTTGCCCATGTGGATCATGATAAACACCCAAAGATACAATAGAATTAGAAAATTGTCAATTCCTTCCTTACATTAACCAAGATATTCTCCAATTCCAAAAGATATGCATAAAGGAAAGCATGACATTATATATGAAGAATGTTTCAATAACCTAAAAGATAAATATTAAATACAAAATTCTATGGATTATTCCGACGCAAAATTAAAATATTTTACGCAAATATAATTAATCATCAAATATAAAAATACAAATCACCCAAATATCATTTATTTCTTTATAAACAATATACTGTGTTTCAAAGGACAATAATATTTGTTGGTCAGTGAAATTTAAATATATATTTTATTACCTTCCCCCTAAATAAAAGAAAAAGGAATAATCAAAAATTCGTTTTTGATCTTAAATGAATATGCATAGATCAATGGTGTTAAAGGCAAATCGGGGTGATAAAAATAAGTATACAATATTTTTTGAATACAACATAATCTTACATAAATTATTCACCGAATGAAAGGATTAAAAAAAAATAATTACATTTCATTTGTAATACCGTATATCCTAATATTAAAAAAAAGTGTTTTAAGAAATTTAATATCGGTATAATTCTGGTTTAAAAGGGCCATCCAAGGGCACATTAATGTATTCGGCTTGATCTTTGGTTAGCTTGGTTAGAACGACACCTAAATGATCCAGATGAGATCTGGCTACTTCTTCGTCCAACTTAGTATTTAAATAACGATATATATATATAATGGAATTATTATCACTAACAATCGCTACTTCTCCCTGACTATATTTATTTTAAAAATACTAAAAAAAGATTATCTTTACAAAAATAAAACTATAGGTTTGCTAATCTTTTCTCTTTTTACCTAAATAATAAAATTTAAGCCAGGGCTTGATTATGATTAATATTTTTAAAAAAAGATGTCATGAATAATTTACAAATTAATATTACATACTTATCTATTAAGACTTATTTATATTTATGACATAACCTTATTATAAAAGAGTTATTAAAAAAAATTAGGGATTGTATCCACGTTTCAAGACTTGAGATAAAAAAACCCTTGGAAAATGACAAAATTTTTTACTTTCTTTGATAACAAATGTATAGCAGGTTTCATTTCTTTGTATTCCTTCCGCCTTGTCCAAAGTTCGATTTGAGCCAAGATCTGATTACTGAATGAATTGCTCATGACAAAACTAGGGTGACCGGTAGCGCAGCCTAGATTTACTAGCCTACCTTGGCAGAGTAATATAATGTGACGACCGCTTGGGAGGAGATATCTGTCCACCTATTTTAAAATAGAAATTACGATCGTATAGCCATCGTCTCACAAAACAATAAATTCTATTTATTACTTATTAAAGTAACTGGAATTTTTTTTTTGCTTTACGAATATTCAACCAAATACATTTTTCCCATTCCTTTTTTGGTTAGCCCAATAATTATATTAAAAACATAGTATACCTGAGGTTTGATGTTAGTCTTTCCAGAGCAATTGGCATCGAGCCACTTAACGTCTATCTCTGTATCGAAATGGCCTATGTTACACACTATAGCATCGTCCCGCATTTTTAGGAAGTGAGGGCCTCTTATGATATCTTTGCACCCAGTTGCGGTAACAAAAATGGAACACTGCCCCACCACATTTTCGATAGTGTTTACCTCATAGCCTTTCATTTATTTTACACAGTAATTAATATAGTCTAGTCATATCAGAGCCCTTCATGGGCCTTAATTTTTTGATCAAGCGTAGCAGCCCACTGCAAAAAAATTTTTAGGCCCAAGCCTTTTCAAAAATTTATTGAATTGTATTTAATAAAAATAAACAATATTTAAGTGTATTTATGTAATCATTTTGTTTATAATATTAAAATTTAGAAGCATAAACTGTAATATTTTTTAAGGTTATCAACTGTTTTAAATATGCAAAATTTAGGCCCAAGCCCTGCCCATTAAAAAATCTAAAAACCCATGCCCAGCCCACTAGAAAATATAATATTAGGCCCATATCCAGCCCATTAGCCATAGGTCAGTCTGACCCATGAAGGTCTTTAAGTCATATATGAGCGTTTGTTAATAGCCGAGCGTGTTATTTTGATGAGATGATCGTGGTAGTAAAATAGTGGATTAAATATTGGGGAAATTACAAAACAAACTAATTTAACTGTAATCCCCTCCTCCATAAATAGACTAATCAGATGTATGGAGCTTATCTCTTTCTATTCCTCCCATCTATTTATTTGCAAGTTCTCTATTTATTGTTCCTTTATATCTTCCTAGTCTGCTATAAAAATTTCTTAATACCTTCCATAGCCGCCTGAAGGGCATTGATAGGATCGATTTCAGTGATGATGACCCGGGCTCCTAGGCCTCTCAAAGACTGAGCCGAACCTTTTCCTACGTCCCCGTAACCAGCCACTAAGCATACTTTACCGGCAAACATTATATCCGTAGCGCGTTTAATGCCGTCACATAGGGATTCACGACAGCCATACATGTTATCGAATTTGCTCTTAATTATTTTTTTAAATATGGAAAATGTAGACAATTAAAATATATTTGATTCTTCTTATTCGTTTTCTCATTTATTCCCTTTCTCTAGCTCTTCCGTTTATTTTTTAAAAAAATGTTCAATCATTTTTTAATATTTTTTTTTTATCTAAAGTATTTAAACTCAATAAAAAAATAACAACGAAAGTTCCAAAAATAATATGATTTAATTTAATAAAAGTCTGTTTAAAACGAAAATAACTTTCTTGATAATTGTAACCCTATACTTAAGCATATGATAATTTTGGGTCCAATGCTATCCCTTTCACATATTCTCATAGTTAACCTATCAATATTATTAACTTCTCGCAATTTATTCCTTTCCAACAATGAATAAAGAAATTTTTTTAATACGAGTAAAAGTAGAAATTGAAAATAATTCAAAATAAAATATGTCGCATTGAGACATGAAATCTCTAAATTTTAAATTACCGAGTATATTTTAATATTTTTTTTAAATCCCCTTGGGCCGAGAATGTATTACAGCATGTGTAGTGCACCCAACCCTATGAATTTCAGACATTTTTGCAATAAAAATTTGTGTATTTTTTTAAAATTTATATATGAAAAATATACATATAAAAATTACTATAAATTAAAAGTAGGTCTAAAGTTTGGTTAAAGTGTGAGTACTTTATGCATGCTGAAATAAATTTTCGGTCAAATCAGATTATTTAAAATTTAAAAATCGCTCCCAGTAAATGATTCAAAATTGAGATTCAGAATCCTCATGAATTCCATATCCCAATATGACATATCACATGGTTTTATAGCCCCATCCCCTCAAAGATTTACTTTTGTGACAGAATCATTGACATTGATGATGGGAAGCATCAAGTTTCCTTTCTCGAGCCTAATGGTAGCATTTTTAATACCAGTAGTTGTTTCTTCGGAAATCCCTACAATACCTATTAAAAATTTTGAAATTATTAAATTATGGATAAAAGATTTTTTTTAAAAAAAATCTCTTTATTAAAATTAGGTGTATACCTTATACCACTTTTTGAAAGCCGGTCCGATATCCAATATTAAATTGATATCTGCTTATTACCGATCCGATATCACATCTGATTGCATTCTTTATGCATATTTACTATTTTTAATGTATAAAAGTATACACTAAACAAAATGTGCAAAACAAAAATACAATATAGTAAAATACTTAGTAATTCATTATTATCCATCATTAAAAAGTTTAATCAATAAATGGGATTCGTTATTAAATTATTTATATAATCAAATTTTTATATTTAATTTTTTAGTTTGAAATGTTTTTAAATGAAGATGTCATTTTATAGATCTGAAAATTATATAATCGGCCAAAAACCGATATTAAAAAGATGAAAAATCGACGCGATCCGATAAAAAATATCGATACATCCTTAAATAAAATCAGAGCCCAGCCCAGATTTTTTTAAATATAAGGAATAACCCTAAATATATTCAAATTGAACATCAAAATAAACAACCATTTATAATATCGGGGAGTGGTTAAATTAAAAACACTACACTTTGTAGTTTAACACTTCCATCAAATATCAGAATTTATCAATAATCCAACCTAATAATTTCTTTGCTTGCGACCCAAAAAAATTATTTCAGATATTATTTGGTTCAGGCGTCGCAGACCTGTAATGCATATTTCTTCGAATTTCTGAAGGCTTTTTATTCGACAAAATATCAATATATTTTTTTCAACAATTTCCTGACCGGATATCCTGTAATATTAACTTTTTACCTAAAGTTAATAAATTTTTTATAACTATGATATTTTCAATCTAAAACGTGTACTTTCTCTGATTAAAATATTAGTAAAAAAACTTGTTTTTTTAAGAAAGAATATATAGCAATTGCAAGCTATAATAAAATTGATTATTACTTATCAATTTATATTAAAAGGTGATAATAAGGATAAAAAAAAATTAAAGCCCTAACTCTGATGATGTGTTTTATCATCAAAATATACGTCTAATATTACTTAAATAAAATAAAATAGGTTAGAGAAAGATTAAAAAGGTCCACATTACATCATTTTATTATACACTTATACATAAAACAATAAAAAGATAATATATACTGCGTCAAATGAAAAGAAAAGGCGAGAGGTACATTTTTATTTATGGTGGCACACATGTAAGTGAATGTACTTTGCTTTAATGGATTTAAAAGAAACAATTTTTTTTTTTTTAAATTTAATAAATATTATTTTTATATTAGAAATAGAAATTTATATTAATTTTTTTTATGGGTCCTAAATATCAAAAAATTCGATTTGAAAACATTTACTTTGTGGGAAAAAAAGAAATAAGTTTTTTTTGTAATCTAAAAATAAAAGCATGTCCAAAATATAATTCTATACGATTTCATTAAAATTATAAAACTTTTCAAATTTTTTTAAAATGGCTTAGAGTCACAGTGTTACAAGGCTACAAAAAAGCTATTATCAACAAAATACAAAAATATGTTTATACTCAACAGGGTCCAAAAAACTTCATGTCTCTTTATCAGTATAGCATTTTTTTAAATTTAGAATTTTTCATTTTTTTTGTAAAAAAAATAATAATTAATATGTTATTGCCAAATAAAGGTCAAATTTCAATAAGTATGATATAATTAATTTACATCAATAATGCTAAAAACATATTACATACATATTTATTATTATACTTTGTGGTTCAAAAAAAATAATATCTTTTAAGGCTAATAATATTTATTTATTTTTTTTTAAAAAAAAGAAGAGATTGCCTTTTCTACAATATCCCTATATTAAAGAATTTTTTTATATAAAAAAATAAAGAATAAAAATTGCAAAAAAAAATTTTTTAAATCACAAAATTAAATTGTATTAAAGTAGAGTTTAGATAGGGAAAACCCAATTCGGGTCAATTTTAAAAACGACCTGATTTTAGTCGAAATAATATTATGTAGGCCTCGAGATTTCGCAAATAGAGGCCCAAACTTTTATACGTTCTAAGAGCAAAATATCCAGACTTGCATAATATTATTTGGCTAAAATCTTAATCGGGCGGTTTATAAAAATCGACCCGAACCCGGCTTTTTAACAATCTTAGTTTAGAGTCCTTCAAAGGATATCGATGATTTCGACAGGGCATAGGTAACTAAGTTCTAAACTTAACCTACTAATCTATATTTTACTTAATTTTAAAAAAGATATAAAAAAATAATTAAAACGACACCCTTGTATTGAGATTAGATTTAACCCACACACTTCTAATCCGATTTTGCGTTAAATAAAAAAAACTTTCTGCTGCCATCCCAGTGTTGTAGAAAATTTTCCTACCGAGTATATTTTAAAATTTTAGTAAGGCGTCTCCAAAATCACCCGGAGTGGTGGTAACTAAGGGGTTTAAAACTATGATTTGATAGAAACAAGCATTTTAATATTTTAATAGATTCTGCAATTTCTATTTCCATCTATACATGAATGATCCCAAGCAGTTTAGATTTGGATCAATCTCATAATATAGATTTTTTAAATAATAAAAATATCTAACATTATGTTATGTCAAGTAATGAAAGTATAAGTGTCAGGGTAATCATATTTTCTAGTAAATCAAATGATACAGAGGGATCATTCACGACTAAGGTTTAGAACAGAGATGCAACGATTCTCACGATATCGGCTAAATGGCATAACTTGAAATTCATCTGCTATTTGAGATGGAAAGAAATAAACTAATTATAATGTTAGCCAAATCCCTAAAATAAACATTAAACCAATGCCTATCATGTTTATTAAAAGTTATTAATATTGCTCACATCCAGTCTAGATTCGAAACTGGTTTAGAGGTCCAGATAAGCTGAAAAGTCAGAGACGGTTTGTATCAGAAAAAGAAATATAAGTAAAAACAAAATCTAGTGTAGCCAATATATTTTTAAATATTTATTTTGAAGAAGTCAATCATAAAATGAGTAAAATTTATGGACTCAAGTCCAAAATCAGGTTTTTACAACATCCGTAACAAAAAAAATTATGAATTTTTCCAATTCTTCAAAAAATTAAATGATTTCCCCTAAAAAAATTGGCAATATTTAACATTTACAAAAATAAGTAAATATCCACCACAGATACTGTATTGTGTGCCATTAGGTTTATTAAATATTAAATTAAGTTAGTTTGAGCTTTTTTAAAAAAAAAATTTCAAATATACTAATAAAAAAACGAGCATACAGGTTTGGGTAAATAATGTCGTATTCAATTGAGTCCACTTAGATTCATCCATTTTAAATTTAAAATATCTAGGTTATAGTCCTGCAAGGCCACCTCGAGCCCAGACCATTCAGTAAAATATAGGCCTAACCCATGGCTCCAAAAAATATATATATTATACTTCCATCCTATTTTTTCTTTTTTGCATGATCAAATATATCATAATTTAAAAAAAATTAGGTAGATATTCTTTATCATATATATAGAATTAATTTGATAAACTACAATTAAATTATCAGTTATTGTTGAATATTGAAATTGAATATATAATTAAATAAGATAGATAATAAAATAAATTGATTTTGAGATTTATAATTTCTTTTTCATTTATGAAAAATTGTGCCACAAGGCCATGAAAGGTTACCAGGCTTGATCAGGCTTGAGGCAAAAAAAATCGATTTTTCAGGTCTCTTTAACCAAAATATATTCTTTTTTAAAAAAATGTTTTATAGGAGATCTACACAAAAATTACCACAAATTAAAATAGTTTAGAAATTCAAGGCAAAATCATCTGACATTTCTAATGTGGGTAACTCTAGATGATGGTATACATATCTAACATAATCTTTTTTTAAATCTAAAAGATGCTCTCAGATGATTAAAAATTGAGATTCCAAATTTCCATGGATTCCATTTCATCAGCCCATAAAAAAATATGGGCCTTCAATTATAAGTTTAGACAAATTGGAAAAATGACTCAATCAAAAATGATTAATGCCAATTTCTGAATATGCTTCCTTTAAGGCTCTTGTTTAGTAATATGTAAGTTGTAATTAGTTTTAGATATAAACATTTATATGAAAATAAACAATGTTTAATAAAAACCACAATTCCATAACACCTCATTCTTAATATTTTATTTACTAATTTTTTTATATTTGATATTTCATATAATATACTTGATAGCTTATAATAAAACAATACTTACATAAATAGTAAACAATCTTACTTACAATTCAATTTTATTTTATTGTTCAATATTGTATATATACACTGCCATGCAAAAAAAAATCATAGCCTAAAAGAAATAGGCAAACAAATTTGCAACACTTCTTTTCTTCTTTCTTATCTGTTTAAAAATTTGTAGACCAACTTTTTATCCTAGTCCGATTCATGGCTTAATAGGCCAAATAAATTTTTTTAAATTTTATGAGAATTAATTATTTGAAGAATTAGCAACTAGAATCAATATTACCAATAAAATAAATATCAGCTGATACCATAAATATCTAATATTAGCCAATACCATAAATATCACCAGAAATCTGTTAATTTGTTTTGTCAAATGGCTTGATTTGAGCCATTTTTAAAAATGGCTAGCTAACTCAATATTTTAGTAAAAAATATTCTCTTAGCCTCTAGAATTTACTAATAAATTTCCAAATCCTTATGCTACATATAAGCATAAACTTCAGGCTCATGTAATATTATTCTAAATATAATATTGATTTAGCCATTTTTAAAAATTGGTTCAAAGATGGTTCAAAGAACCATTTTTAAAAATTGATTCAAATCGAGCCATTTAATAATAATACTTTTGATATTAGTTGCTAAATTTAAAATAGTAGCTATTAGTAGGCTGCTTTTTTTTGAAATATAGTAGCAGCAGTAGTGTACAGCAAGCTATGAATATAGCAATAAATAATAACTCCCAAAATAATTAGAAATATTTTTAAAACCTAAAAAAATAAGTATAAGTTAATATTTTTTCAAAATAATAAATGAAATATGGGAAAAAAGAAAACCACCAAATTATTTGTTCAAGTAATCATCCCAAATTCTCCCATAAAGGAGGTCTCTCCACAATAAAATTTATGGAGAAAAAACCACCCAAAAATCTTACCCCATAAAAAACTGCATAGGCTTAAATGTTAAAATCTTACTAGAATATTAAACAAGATTAATAAAATGGGCATGATAATTAATTATTAAACATAATTACCTTTATTAATTAAAAAACAATTTAACAAATAAAAAATAATTAGCAATTATAAAAATTAGCTATATATAAAAATTTTTTAAAAAAAACTGAATAAAAAATACCTGCTAATAAGTTTGGATATTTTTCATGAACCAAATTAGTTAAATCTCCACCATCATCTAAAATCATATTAAGTTGTTGACCATCAGGAAATATTAAAGTCTGGCAATAAAAATAACATCATATTTATGTTAGCAAGCAAAAAAATTAATAAATTTAAATACTTGTTCTATGCACCACAAATATTCTTCATCTGTCTCTCCTTTCCAGGCATACACGGCAACACCTGTTTTTGCAATTGCAGCTGCAGCATGATCTTGAGTTGAAAATATATTACAACTAGACCATTGAACCTATAACAATATAATATTTTAAAATTAATATGGTATTTGCCTCTGCTCCCAATTCAATCAGGGTTTCTATCAAAACGGCAGTTTGGATTGTCATATGGAGGCAACCAGCAATTTTAGCACCTTTGAGAGGTTTTGAGTGTCCATATCGTTTCTTCAATGACATTAATCCCGGCATTTCATTTTCGGCAAGCTCAATTTCTTTTCTTCCATATTCTGCTAATTTTATATCCGCTAAAATGTATATTAATATCTTGCATATAATATAATTATATAAACCTATTTTATAAGGTGGTTTTGGTTTCACGTCTGTTACCATTGTATAAAAAGTAATAAAATTATGAATCACTGGTTTTACTAAAATCGAGAATTGACATAATGATACGTAACGTCCTGTCCCTTTTTGACTGCAATGACAAGATAACACTAATAAAAATATTTATTAAACATGAAACAAGTGGTGTATTGCGAGGAGGGCTATAGGAAATTAAGGATCCCATCCGCGCTAACTATTTTTAGCTTTCCAAATTTTGAGTACGGGGCTCCGCTCAGCAAAATTTTTCAAATAATTTTTCAAGTGTTAAATTTGAATCCATTTTCTCTTTATGGCACGGCGTTTAAAAATTTTAAAATGATATTTGACTATATTTATATATTAACTTATTATTCTTAAGAATATTAAAATGTGAATTTTAGTACTGTATAATTATATTTTACAAAAGATATAAAATTGTTATTTTTAATCTTTGAAAATGCATAACACAATATATATTATTATTCTTTTTATTTTATTTGGCGTACATGTTTTAACCCACCATATAAAATTGTTATTTTTAATCTTTGAAAATGCATAACACAATATATATTATTATTCTTTTTATTTTATTTGGCGTACATGTTTTAACTCACCATATATACATCATGAAACAAAACTATCTTATAATCTTTGGAAATAATGAATGAGATCTAGTTGTTCATATTAAATCGATTCAAAGAGTGTAGAATAATTTCTGTTCTCTAAAATGGGTTCAAAATTTGATGAACTATTTGCATTAAATCGATTCAAAGTGTGTAAAATTTCTTTGGTACAAATAGAGATCAAAGATTTATTTAAAAAAAACCATAGGTTTCTAAATTTATCTTTTATAATAATTTTTATTAACAAAAATTTATTAAAAATATTTTGAACATTAGTAGATATTAGCTACACTTCTTCTTAATACAAGATTTCGAAATCTTAAATTAAATTTTAATTCATTCCATTATATTATTGCAATTTCCAATTTGACATTTAAAACTTATACAGCATTATAGAAATGCAGAGTGTAAAATTGCTCGTAAACATTCCCTTTCAAACAACCAGTGGCATGCCTAAAATATGAAGAAATGAAAGATTCATGAAAAATTTTTAAATTTATATTTATATATATTAGTATTAATCAGTCATATCAACAATATCTATGGTTTATATTTGTGGAATTATTTTTTATAAAAATAAAGAATTTATTTATATTAGTAATAGAAAAAATCCGATTTTTTATATATATTTCAATAATATAAATTATAGCCTCCCTCCTATCCAAATTGTTCATATTCTTAATTTTTTAAAGAGGTTTAATTTTACTTAAACTATATAAGGATTTAGATGTTTTTTATAGGGGTTAATTCAGCCGGAAATTAGCCCTTTCAAATGAGTGAACCAGGATTGCTTTCACTCCTATACTATTAGTTTTTTGTAGTTTTATATCATTTAGAAGGACTTTACAAGACGGGGGGTACGTCTGTAAATTTATTTAATCTATTTATATATTATTCTCTGATGGGCTTAGCCCCCATACCGCCTTATGGCCACCTTCTGGCGGCTTTTGCCCGGCAACCTGGTTTATATCTCTGATATATATTTTCATGTATAATAATTACAAAATACATACAATCGTAATTAAAATAATATCTAACATAAATTTTACTAATTTTTAGGCTCATTATTTATAAAAAAATCCTAACTAACCACAAATATCCAAAAAATGGAAAAATTTTGCTTTTTTCGAAATTAAAATGAGATTAATTTAAAAAGCATAATTATTTGTATACCTAAAAGTCAGTACAAAATAATATATTATAGTTTAACAACCCAACGTATTCTGTATATTATGTTAATTTTGATGTGTAGCATCATCTAATACAATAATATTTTATTAAATAATAGAAAGAATATATACTTTATTTTTATATAATATAATATCTTAAGATTTTGAACCATTTTGTTTTTGAAGACGAAATGAAGATAATTATAATAATAAAATTATTTTACCAAACGTAAAATAATATTTATTAAGAATACGCAATAAAATTTAGCAATTGCTATTTAATGGTTTTGGGGGCTACTTATTTAAAATTTCTTTGTTAATTTAAAAAAATAAATGCTAATCCATTTTTCAAAATTAGTGTTAATTTTTATACCACCTGGCTTATAGTAAAACAACTCACTTCTCTATCAGATCCTCTTTATATCCTAGTTATATAAAAATAGAAAAACGTAATCTCTTCCAATAATAAACAAAATGCCCATTGAAGAAATATTATTTCAATATTGGAAGTCGGTGATAGTATTGTGGAATAAAATAATTTAACACTATAGATTGTGAAAACATTATCCATTTTTTTTTATAATATTATTAGTTTCCAAGATAGAACTGGTAAAAAATAATTATTTCCACAGTTAGAGTCTGCAAAAATGAATTAAAATAATTTCTTCACGATCCATCATTGATTCACAATATACAGCATAAATATCCATTAATCCAATCCAAAAAATATTTATTCTTTATCATATGTTTCCAAATATAATTAAGAGACTAAACAGGAGACGAAAATGATGTTTTATTAAATAAATTAGTCCTTTTATCGAATGCTTAAAATAATAATCGTTGAGTATTATTAAATTGTAAAATACAATAAAATATAAATAAACTAGTTTCAGTCATTACTTTATTAAACTGCTTTTTATATTTTCCAACTTTACAGAGAAGTTCAAATAAAATATTTATCGCATTTTTCGATTTTCATTTATTCTTATTTTTAATTATGTAAAAACTATTACATTTTCTAAATTAAGGTAACATAACCTTTAACCTTTTTTGAGGTAACGAAAATAGGTAAACGTTTATATTTCTTCCTATAATAAAGTTAACCGTTAATTTTGTCAAGTAGCTTAGTCGTGGTTGTGTTTGAAGAATCTCTTAATCACATATTAACTCATTACTGTTTATCCTTTTTTATTTCATTTTCGCTTACCTTTATTACAAATTATATCATTAGTATTTTCATTTAACCCGACTATTAAATATTTGTAAATAGGCGAATAAAGAGAATGAATGTCGTAATATGTCACTGAATACATTTTCCAATTGTGAAATTTTCTTTAAGGGCTTTTCAGAAATACCTTTGATATTTATTTCTTAAATATTTCCGATAAAAATATTGTATTATAAGCTCTGTTAGTCAACTAACATACGACTAACTAATAGTTTTAGTCAAAAGAACTCGACTAATTAACAACCCCTAGATTATATGAATAAATACTTCAACAATTTAGGGGTCGATCGGATTTGTGGCATTAATCTTTGCATTTGTCGTGATGTTGGTTATTATTCATTATTTTTGGGGGATTATTAAGTTGTTAATAAATATTTTGTTTCAATCAAATATTAGTCAAATAGTTTTTTTTATGATGTAATTAATTTTTGTATTCGGAATTGAAGTTATTAAAATAGTTTTTGTTATTATATTAATAATTCGGCTAATAATGCTTTTGTATTTTATTGAATATGATTTTTTTTTAATTTGCAAACGTTCGAAGACAAGAAAAAATATTTTTATGTTATAATTTCATTTTAGTTTGATACAAATTTTGTAAAGGGAAATAATATATAAAGAGACAAAAAATTATAATCGTGATCGTTTATTTATATATATTAAATTAATAAAGTTTTTAGTCAATTATCAATTCTATTGTATCACATCTTAAGTAATTCATTCAATACTGTACTATACTACTTTCAAAAGCATTCATCCCTGTTATTTGACTTATTGTATTTTTTTTAACATTTCGTTTTCTACCCAGATGCTATTTGGCAGCTTCAAATCAGGAATATTTTTGTTTAAATTTGCAGCCATTTTTATAGCTTTTTTTTTGAATGTTTGTGATGGTTTGAAAACTTGAAATCTTTTATTCCGATCTGATACAATATCTAATTTTTTAGGTTGAGGATCTAATGAGTTTTAAAAGTTATAATATAGGATCGAATGAATTACTATCAACAATTAAGTAATTAAGTAAATAATCGAATGGATTACTTAAGATGATACAAATGAATTAATAATTGACTTATTTAATTTAATGTATATATATTTTTTAAAAAACGATCATTATTATTATTTTTTGTCTCTTTCTATTTTCCTTTACAAAATTTGCATCAAACTAAAATTAAATTATATCATAAAAATGTTTTTCCTTGTCCGCGAACGAGTGCAAATTTTAAAAATAATCATAAAATACAAAAATTCTATTAGGCGAATTATTTACATAATAACAAATATTATAATAATAATTTCAATTCCGAATGCAAAAATTAATTACATCATAAATAAAACCATTTGGCTAATATTTGAATAAAACAAAAATATTTAATAACAACATAATCTAAATTTAAAAAAAATAATAATGAATAACCAACGTCATGACAATGAGAACTGCCATATCATCTTAAAAATTTCCTAGAGTTGGTTAACGTTTTAAATTTGTACAAATTCTCAATCAAAGATTTGGCAACTGATGAGGTCCTCAAACTCAAGGTGGGGTAAGGGTAGGCATTTAAAAGGGGTAGACTGAATGGTAAAATAAAATTACGCCCTATTTGTAGATTAAAGACAATTACTGGTAAAAGGATCCTAATTTTTTAATTAATATTTAATTCCTATTCAAAAATAACACTTTGATACAAGTCTAAATTTACAATTTATACACGCTCTTGGCGCTAAGTATTTAGATTACGGTTAGAACAACTAGTTGATTATCACCAACTAATTTATATTTTTTATTCCTAACCTGAATTGTCTGAAAGAGTTTTAATAAGAATATTGTTGGGAGGTAATAAATGGTGGCTCATTGGGATTACAATGGTATCATTGGTTGACCAATATCGCGGCTAATTGGTTCTAATTTTTCTTAGGGGAGTAGGGGTAAATTTTGGAGGGGGAGGGTTTACCTCCAATAAATTCTTAATGTAGACGCTACAAACGATCCTTGTATTGTGAGGGTCTAATAATAATAAAATATATATGGATAGGTTGATAAAAATAAAGGTGAAAAAAAACTTATGCGATCCTTTTTCAATAACGTTCTAAATAATGCGTTACTTTGGTAACACATTGTATTTTAAGAAAGTAACGTACACATATTGATATTAATAACGTAAAATGCAACATCGTTACTGTTTGAGTAATGTATCCACATTATGATGGTGGATAGACAATTGATTTCCCGTTTTCTTAAAAATCAAACATTAGACAGATTCTGTGGAACATTTTTTTTAGACAATAAAAATCCTCCCATATAAATAATATGTCATAAAAGATATTAATAGGATTGGATCTTGTAATATAATTAATCATAAGTAATTTAAAAGGGTTATTATTATAATATTTTCCCTTTTGTTGGGCAAGAAATTATGGATAAAATATATGTGAACAAAACAAATTATTTAAAATAAAATAATATGAACAAGTCTGGCCGTATCGATCGTTTAAAGTATTAAGCTTTTTTTTATGATGATTTAATATATAAATAAAATACATAAAAATATATTATAAATACCAAAGCACGCGAATATATTTTAAGCTTTAATGAACATCCAAATTCATTTAAAATTATATTCTATTATATATATAAAAAACAGCATAAAAATTTGCATTTTTTATAAATATTTAAATTTTTAGTTGGTTAAGTTTTTTTTTGTAAAAGCGAAAACAAGAAAAATATATATCTTCGCTTAAAATCAAATCTTTTGCGATGTGCGTTTTATTAAGAAAAGTTCATATTTTATTTATTAAAACAGCTTAAATTAAGACAATAGCGGTATCGATACGATAAAGTTCGTCTTATCCTTATCTTTTCCATTTCTGCTTTCATTTCATTGTAAACTTAACATATATAAAAATTTTTATATGATTACAATTCCGTTCAACATAAAGGCATATCCTGAAATCCTCTAGTGTCGTTAAGGAAGGAGGGGGAGGAGGGGATCAACCCTTTGCCCCTCTACTTTCCCCTCATCCCAAAAACTAAGATGAGCACTTCCCGCTAAAATTTATTCATTTTTAGATATGGATTTCTTTGTTTCGACCAATTTTAGTTAGAAATGCGCTCCTTTTTGGTCAATTTTGGAATTATGATTTACCTCAGGTTTAAAAAAAAAGTTAAAGACGCCAAATCTTTATCATATTATTTCTAGGATGTGTATATATATTTCCTAAGAGTTTAAAATTTATCTTTGATAAAAAATAATTTTATATATATCTAACAAATTTTAATATAGAAAGTTTTTTTTTCTATTCCGAAAACCCATATTGAAATCTTCTAAAATAAAGGGGGGGGGGATAATACGCTATCGATTGTGCCTCTTTTGAAAACTAGACTGATTATAAGTCGATTTTTAGGAGTTTAAATTTATTAACTATCAATAAAATAAAAATATCATTCTAAAAATAACCAAAAAATCTCATGTTTTTTTTAGTGCTTTTGCTCTTATTTATTCAATTTATTTAGTAAAGTAACATTTCAAACTAATAAAGTTTCAAATTTAAAGTAATTTCAAACCTGGTATATTTTAAAATGGTGCTCACAAATTTTAAAATGATATTATTTTACTTTTATAAGCTAAAATGGTATATTTCTTCTATGAATATATTAAAATTTAATTAATTTTTTTTTTAAAACCTTTCTCGCTTATTTTTAGATCTTAAATTAAATTCAATATTATATTGTATAATTTTTTAACATAATATTAAATATTGATTGGATTAGATTAGATTAGATTAATTCATATATTAATGATATTTTTTGTCATGTAAATATTTTTACCTATGCGGAAAATTTTTTTTTTAACAAAAAAAAATGATAAAAATTGGAAGCTTATTTAGAAGATTTATCGATTTTCCACTGTTGGAGAAATTAAATTATCGCACGAATTTTATTTATAGGGAAAAATAGATATTTTTAACAATTTTATTTCAATAAAAAGACCGATTTTATTAAAGTGCATGACCCGACAGCGAGTATCCTTAAACTATGTATGTAATTAAAATAAATAATTTATATCATAATTTTAAGAAAAATGTGAAATTTGATATTATCAAATTTTTTTGAGTGTCACTCATAGGCATAGCAAAAGAGAGGGAGGGGGGTTCGTAAGAATGTCCCCACCCTTTCAAAAATTTAGCTGTTCTCATAAATATAATTTTGAACTTAAAAAAAATTACCACTATACATAATATAACATAAACAATAATTTGAAAGAAGAATAAGTAAATGATAATAATTTTTTAAAATATTATAATTAAAAAAAAATTTATATTATTTTTATAAAAATATAACACAGTCAAAGCAGAGACCTTCATGAGTCCTACCGGTCTATACCTGGCCCATGGGATTGGTATGACCTAATATATTTTATAGTGCACCAGGTTTTCGCAAAATTTTTTCAATGGGCTTGGGCCGAGCATGGGTTTAAAATAATATTAAAATTTTTAAGAAAAAAAAATTTTTTTTTTCTTCTAATAATTAATTTCGGTATTGAAAACTAAAAGATTGCTTAAATACACTGAAATATTGTTTATTTTCATTAAATAAAAATAAATTAAGATTTTGGATATGGGCTCGGACCGGGCTTGATATGTTATGGGCCCAGATAGGCCTTGAGAATCTTTGTAATTGATAAATATGGGCTGGGCTTTGCCTAAATCAAAAAATAAAGACTTACGAAGGTCTCCGAGCCAAAGGCAGACAATAATTGGACCTAAAAGTAGTATTATTAAATGGCACGATTCTTAAAAAGGGCCCGATTAAGATTTTAAATAAAATAATTTTATAAGCCTGGAGTTTTCGCTGGATAGATGGAAGGGTTTGTACCTCTATTTGCCAAATCTCAAGGCTTACATAATATTATTTTGCCTACTTAATCGGACCGTTTTTTGATTAGCAACACTACCTTATAAAATTTATGGGAAAAAAACTACCTATGCTTCCACCCGCCTTTACTGGCTACGTTTATTATGCTATAACAATAATAGAGAAATTTACATCAAATGGGTTGCAAATGCTAAATGTAGATCGGGGGTATTATTATATTTCAAAAAACTGAATATATAATTTAAAGAAAATTAAATTTTCATTAGATTTTCCATAATATTATAATAAAATAATAAGTATATAAAAAATTTATTGATTTATTTTAATAGTCTTTTTTTTGGACTGTATGATCATCATTTCTAGTTCTTTTTTAAAATATTATTATTAAATATAGTATTATAAGTAAAGGTATATATTTTTTTTAATATAAATTTCATTTAAAATTTAAATTCATATAAAACGAAATTTATTCAATTTTTAGTTATTATAAGTTGCATTTGAATCTTTTTCTTCTTAATCATAAATACAAAATTTTAAAAAATAAAAAAAAACCGTATAAATATAGCAATTTTTCAATATTAAATGGTAACTCAAGTTGACACCATGAGCGCTTACAAAATTTCGCATTCGATCTCAGATAATAACTTAAGTGGAAAAAGTGAAGATATTTCATTCAAATATAATTTAACAGATCATATCGACTGCCATCAACAAAATTCGCTGTCTTATAATATAAGTAATAAGTTAAATGATGCCTTGGTTAAAATTTAAGAGGTCATTTTTTTCTTGAATAAATCATCTAAAATAAGAAGGATAGCCTAATTCAAATTAATTCTCATCTAAGATAATATTATATTATTACTTTTATGTGAAAACCTGACGGCATACTTCAAAATTAAAATTTTGACTGTTTATATATAATATCTTTGTGTTTGATAATTTTCAAAAAAAACTAACTTTAAGACAAAAGATAAGTTTTAAAAAAAATTTACATCGTTTTCTCATTAATTTGAAAACATCTCTTCTCATTATTCCAGGAATTGTATTTTTTTAATATTTCTTTAATCATCATTTTCACTTACCTACAATTACTAAATATATTTATATTATTTGATAAATAAAAAGCTTTCAACAATGATGAGCGGAAGAATAAGCAATTACTTTATAAATACCAAAGTTTGGAAGATATAAGGAATGCCGATTTTTTCACCTTCCTCAGTCAAAGGATATCAAGACACGTAAATTAACATATACTATATATATGGATATGTAAGGGATATCTGGACACGTTGTGTAGAGGGGTAGGTTAATCAATTCAATTATATTGTAAGCTTAATTTATAAGAAAAGTCTAATATAGATAATTATATTATACATGATTGGTTAAAAAAGATTTACTATTTTAATACAGAAGAAAATGTGTTACAATATGCCAAAAGTAACAAATAGTAATTTTAAACTGTGTCGTTTAGAAATATAAAGGCTTATAAAATCTTAATAAATAAAATTAAGGAATGTTTAAACCCTATTTTTTAATCTGACAATTTTCAGAATCTAAAACATGAATTAATATGATTCTGAATGATATTTATAAAGTTACATGGTTGGTCATAGGATAGTTTGTCTTATTAATTATTGCATAATTTTTTATTTTGATAGAAATGAAAATAAATATTTATTTTTAATATATTTTACTTTAAATAATATTTTGTTTTAATTTTTCTTTATAAAAATTTCTTAAAATGTATAAATTCAATTTAATTTTACATATTTATTGTTTATTATGATATTATCAAATACTTTAAGGTCTCTAGTATTTTAACAATTTCAAAATGAATATGCAGCAAAAAGTAAAAATTTATAACATAAAATTTGAAAATATGAATATAAATATGTACTATTGTCTAAGCCCCGAGATTATGTTAATAGATGTTCAAACCGTTGTGCTACCTATGAGCCAAATCTTAAGGCTTGCATAATAATTTCCTAATAAAATATTGAGTTAGCCGTTTTTAAAAATCGGCTCAATCACATGGGGAAAATAATTAATACTATTTGTTATAAAAAAATCTTTTTTTTTGAATTATGGTTTAGTTCTCCCGCTTTTTCTTTGAATGAATCTGGCAAACCTGATCCTAACACCCATTCCTAGCCACCTCTACCCCAAAAATTAATAAAATTAGTTATTGCGAAGAATGATTTTTTGTTATAAAATAAATAATTAGTATAAAATTACTGAATTTATTTTTCAGGAAAAGCATTTAATAACTAAATACATTGTGTAAAATTAATATTCACTAATATTATGTAAAGGCTAGGTGGGCCCAAAGTTGATATTAGTGAACGTCTGTTCTATAACCCCTCCCCCGCCCTCCCATTCGAAATATCCTGGTTATTATGTACTATAATTACAAAGCTATGCAACCACTAGCAAAACAACTATCTATTTAATACGATTAACAAGCATGGTCAGTGAAACATGTTAAATTTTTTTTAAATGAAGGATAGTGGCTGCCTAATTATAATTAGTAATTTTATATTATTAAGAAAAATCAATATAGTTTCAATAGAAATTTCAGTTATTGAATATTATCGATTTTTGGACAAAATTGCGCAGTATATTTATAAATTATTAATTTTTTCGTCTCAAAAATGTTACTAGATAATTCATTTAATTTATATTACTCAATATAACATTGTAAATTATTGAATTCAAGGCATCTATCGAAAATAATTATCAGGATACTGGAAATAGTGCTCAAAATATGGATTATCATGGAACGCTGCGCTATCAAAGTAATAATGATTGCCAAAATGAAGAATCAAACAGATTATCTTTGACTGACTTAAATGATCAACGTATTCTCACTGATTCTTTTACAGACTCCACTTTTATGTTCAGCCCTAGCCACAGACCATTATTCCTCTCGTCCAATAACGAAAATATGAGTTCAAAATATTTTGATAACCATTTCGATCATGTGAGCGGTAACTTATTAGAACACGACGATCTATTCGACAAGGAAAGACTGCTCGTATCACCCCAAGTTTCAACGATTTACGAAGAGAGTGAATTTTCATTTAAAGATGGACAGGGTCACTCGACTCCAGTGAGTGTCGTAACATTAGGACCTGGGACCCCACTTATACACGACAATACGGCGATTGAAATTGAATCGGAATCAAAAATATCGTCGAACTATGATTTAGGGTCCGATATTATCTCCAGAGATCGATATTGTCCCTCGCAAAGCGATAATAAAACAGTGACTACTAACTCTGATTCGGAAATGGGTAATGCATCTTAGCCCGTGTCCTAGAGCGACTTAATACTTAATAGCCGATATTTAGGCGTCTTTTAATGATCGGCTAAATAGTCAAAAAAGAAAAAGAAAATTTTTTTAAAAAAAAGAGGGAAAAAAGAAGAAAGATTAAAATAAACCAAACAAAAAAACGAAAATAAAATACGAATAATCGCGATTTCATTAAATATTTAAGCCAAAATAGGGTATCCTAGATTATATGCATTTTAGCCCCTACTAAAAAGCAACTAAATATCAAAATTAAGCGGAAATAGGACACGGCCTTTGATTTTTTTTTTATAGCATCTGAAAATTTAAGGCAAAAATATTATATGCATTTATAAATTAGCTCAATTACATGCTTATACATTTTTATATATTTTTAAAAAGATGAATCCATCCACGAGAACGATTCAAATTCTCAGTCGACATCGAGGGAGAAATGGAGTGACGATGAAGCAAAATGTAAATCGGTCGATACAACGGTAACACCTGATTTTGTTAGAAACGAAATTGCAAAGGAATATAAATGCAAAGCTATAAATATATCAATGCCCAATGATGCTCACGATAAGGTGTCAATTTATCCTGAAAAGACGCAAAACTCAACTAACGACGACGTTTATGATAATAAAAATAACGAACATTTAATCACTACCGAAGTTGCTTCTATCGAATTAAATCCTGATAATGATGAAAAACCACCAGTTCCTAAAAATAACAAAGAAATCTCTCCCGAATCGAAAATATTTATAGATCCAAAAGAAATAAAAACCGAGAAACTCCTTAACAAATCAATTCAAAAACTACCAAACGAACCCAATACTATTGATATACCAAAGAATCAATCAATTAGTCCTAAAACAGAAAAGAAGGATAAGAAAAAGCCTACCATTCGCACAAAAAGTGCTAGCCGGGATTTTAAAAGTCACTCGTCACATGAAAAAAATACGTCAATTAATAATATAAATGACTCGAAGAAGAAAACAACCTTGGTACCTAAAAATGGGAAAAACGATATTTCATCAAGGACAAAGGCAAAGCCTAAGAGAGATCATGATAATATCAATAAGACCCCAAAAATCGAATTCAGGACAACATTTCAAGACGAGAAACCATTTAAATTATCAGAGAGAAGTAAAATCCGTGATAAAATTAGCACTAAACCTCTTGATAAGATTTCGCTAAAACCGCTCCAGGCTAGCAATATAACAGCTTCCCGTATTCGACCATCGAATAGTTTTCATGATTACAAGAAATACCGAGACACTAAAAGAAACCTGGATAGTAACAAAGTGCCATGGAACACTTCTAATTTAATCCGGGATGATTCTCATGTTACAACAATTTATAAACCAAATTACGATTCCAGCAATTTGAAAGAGGTGTATAATAAATATGTAAAAACTCTATCGCTGTTCGATATAAAGCAGAAAATGACGACCGATCATTTAAACTTAAATTATCTACCAGAATGTATAGCGGTAAAATTGCAGACAGATAACCCCCCGGAGATTATAAAAAGGATGAATAATGTAACGAAAGATATTAGACAAGATAAAGAGTCTAAAAAATTAGAAAATGCTAAAGAAGAGGTTTATTTGGTAAATAATAATACAAATCAGTCGGAAAACAAGAATTATACAGAGAACCAAGAAGTTGATTTGCAGGAAGATAATAAACAAGCAGATGAGATTAAGGGCGATTTGCAGGACAGTTCTATAAATTGGAAAAATTCTGATATAACTGGACAAAATAATACCAAATTTAATCAATCTTTTTCAAGGTCATACAATGAAAAAATTCTGGAAACAAATCTGGATAATGATATACAAATATCTAAAAATGTTTCAGATAACAATTTGTCCAAATTAAATGATGAAAGCATGAATGATTCCACGGAATATAAAAGATCATACAAATTGTATTCCCCATTAGAAATGTGTCATTACAAATCGTTCAAAGATAAAATTACCAAGGATCACATCATAAGCTTGTTCAGAAAAATGAGCAATAATGTGTTCAAGAAATCCCCGGAAGAAGAAAGCTTAAAACTAAACAAATCATATGTGGGAGGAGACTCAGAGTCTCCAGATAATTTGGGACATGATCATATACCCACAAAAAAAAGTAGTTTACAATCAGAAAGCAAAAATCGTCAACATCAAAGCACAATTATTCAAAACATATTTGAAACTTGTAAGGGTAGAGCAAATGTTACAAACGATAATGTTATAGATAACGTAGATAATAATGATAACTTAGACAAGAGTCAATACAAAATGGCTTATGGACAGAAGAAACCTATAAAATCATGCGTTAGCGATGATAAAAATATTTGGGCGAATTTAAAAAACAAAATAATGTTAGATCATTTAACGGACTACGGCAATAAAGGGAATATGAATGATTACACCACTGAATATTTGAGAGAATATAAACCTTCTTATGAACATAAAACATACGTAGATACCTTAAAATCTAGTAAAACAGAGGGCCAAGATGTCTCCGATAAACAGAACACCCTCAAGCAAGATACTTCGTATAAACCATCTCTAAATTGTAAGTTGATTAAAGCTAGAAATAACATGGATCATATCAATTCTAATTTTTCTAATTATAAAATTAGTGGTTACTATACTGAATATAATAGATCTTTCAGTAATCCAAGATTAAATAAATTTGAGAAAGTCCCCACCCATACCATGTTGTCATATCATCAAATCAAACAAAATTCTCTTTTGGACCATATAAAATTGATGTATTGCTGCGACGATCAGGATAAATTGAATCCTGTTACATCAAATGGAACATTGATTTCTAGTATTTCGAAATCGGAAAACAATATAAATGATTATAAAAGAAGTTGCTATTTAAGACGTTAACTTAATTCGGTTCTTATAAATTTGATAGTTTTTTTTTTTATATATTATAATCTCTTTAAAATTCTATCTGAGTCTGTTTGATTGCTTGATGATAAATAGATTCGATCCTTTCAATAGAAATAAAGTACCTTTGAATACTCAAAACTGGTTATAATTCAATTCATGATTAAAAAAAATCATTATTATTTGCCTCTTCGAACAAGTTATTAATAGTATAAAATACTTATTGAAATGTAAATTTTAAATTTTTAATAAATTTGAAATAATTATTTTTTGTGTCTTTTAATAATTAATTAAGTGCATTTATTTATGTTTCACACTAGAAAGTAGACGACGGCGATAAAGCATCAATTGCTTTTAATATAATGTGGAGTTATTTTGCAATTCTTTTATTCTTTAAATCGAGAGTTACATAATATATTTAGTTATAGCACTTGATATAGAAAATTTAGGCTTGCCAAATGACAGAAAATTAAAGCCTGTTTAAAATTTATTTATATCCTTCTAAAGAAAATTCACGGTTTTGACAGTGATATTCGTTTGATTAAAGTATAGTAACCTCATAATATTAATATAAAAATGATCCATTTGCAACCTGCTAACAAAACCTATTTATACTAATTCAATTATCTGTAAATTGACTTAAAATTAAATTAACCATTAAAATAAAGTTTAATATCTACTAATAAATTAGAATCTTTTGTCAATTATTTCTGTCTTTAATCTAAAAATATATTTATTTTTACTTCACCCTATCCCCTAGGCAACTTTTACTTCCTATCTCCATCAATAAATAAGAGGCAAATGGCTTCTATTTCCTTCTCATGTGTGGGATGCTGGGCCAGTGGATAAAATTAATGCCGTGACAAAATTTCATGACATGCCGGGCTTGATTTAGCTATTTCCAGAGATGCCACTAAATCATGGCTCTTATAAAATTAATATTTAAACATGTATATTATTTTTTTCTGCTTGTAAAAAATATAAAAGTTGAGCTAATCTTATATGATTTTATTGTCCGTAATGAAGAAATGGTTTTCGGATTTCTGTTTGTGCTTATTGCTAGTTTTGCTAAAACCCTCTATTTAGCCATTTTTGCAAAAGAGATCAATTACTATTTAGCCAAACAAATCTTATCTAAGCCTGAAACTTAACTAGATTGGAGCCAAACATTTCGCCCATATTTTGGGGACATCTCCAAAAATAGACAGCAATTGTGGTTATTGTAGCGTCACATAAGGAGGAGAGCGAAGAGGCTTGAGCCCCCTGAAAAAATTTAGAAGCGTCTTAAATTCAAGGTTTTTAACAACATTACTAGTGTTGTTAAGTAAAAAATAACTGTAACTACTGTAACTAGTTATATTTTTATCAATGTAACTTCCAAAAGTAATTAGTTACTTTTAAAAATATGTATGTATAAATCTAAATAAAGGAAGATAATGATTAAGATATTGACTACATTTCAATAGAAGATATAATGTCTTCCTCTAGGCTAACCAATTATAAAATAAATAACTTCGACTACCTTCCCAGGCATCGAAGGTGTTCCTGTCACACATAACTTAGTGGCAACACAAGATGCCAATAAAATACTTTTAAACAATGAGGATTATAGGAAAGTGTATAAGGTTGCTATATCTAAATGTCAACGTTTGGGGAATACACAAAACAAATCTGGGCCATCAGCTGAGCAAATTAAAAAGAGATTACATTCTCAGCTGACATATCCCATTGTAACAAGATGGGGTTCTTTTTATACATCTTTATCTAAAATATCATCACTTATAAATGAAATGCCTTTATATTTCGATTTATTATGTGATGAATTAGAATTGTGTAGATTTACATCACAAAATCGTGATTTTATTTAAGAATATTGCAGTGTAAATTTAAATTAATGTCTTATAAATAATTTACAATTAAAAAAATTAGATTATGCAAGCAGTGGCTAAAGCTATTGATATACTAGAAGGTAAAAAATATATGTATCTAGGTTATTTTACCCCAACAATAACACAGATACTTATCTATCTGGAAGGTGTTCAAGAATTAAAATATTGTCAACCTTTAGCTAGTATTAAAAAAAGGCAACTTAAATTGAATAATTATTTAGAAATTAATAATACAATGATATAGGTTTCATGATCTTTATGATAATGATAACATAATTGCTGCTTCATCCACTATTTAAAACTGATTGGCCTTGGATAAGGCAAGAAAAGAATAGATCAAAAAGATGGAAATTTTAAATTTAATAAATACTTTAATACCTCGTGGTGAATCTAACATAAATGGCTCAGCTCATGTTCGCAACAAACATCATTAGATGTAGTTGGATTTTTTGATTTAAAGCGTCAAAATATTATTGATAATGATAAATTTATTGGAAATTTTATTAAATCCAATAACAGCACATTATCTTTATATGACGATTTTCCAAATTTAAAAATACTCTTTATTAAATATAATGTTGTTATTACATCAAGTGCTCCTGTAGAGCGTTTATTCAGTCTAGGGAAGCTCATCTTTGGAGAGAAACGAGTGCGTCTCCTAGATAAAAACTTTGATATCCAATTGTTGTTAAAAGCAAATAAACATTTATTAAACTCAAATTTTTATGAAAAATAAATATGTTTTTTATTCAAAGCAAATATATAGGATATTTTTATTCGATGTAAATATAAATATTCTATTATCCGATATTTTTTTTCGGTTTACTTATTTCGTTATATAAATAAATTGTATATATTTTTTAAACAAATGATTATAATTTGTATATAATAATTTTTTTATATTAAATATGCGTTCAGTAAATAAATGCGTTATATAAATGATATATAAAGTAACTTATAATGTAACTAGTTACTTTTGAAAAATAACTGTAACTATAGTTACATTAAATATAACTAGTAACTGCAACTAGTTATATTTTTGCCAATGTAACTAGTTGTGATGAAATCAATTTTTATTATAAATTTAACAACTTTTTACCTTTTGTACCGCAGTATATATATATTTTACAAAACAAACAATTAATCGTCGTACACAATTAATAATATATATATTTAAAATTCATCATATATTTAATTGCCTTTGAGGCTAATTGTTTCTATTACATCTATTCTCTCCTTTTTTGGGCTCTCGATTTGAAACGGTATAAATTGTTTTCTTATCCGTTTTGGATAACGGCTGCTTGTACTTTCGTTCTCTACCACCGTTTGCTCATTACTGTCGATTTTCATCTTATCATTTATGATGGTCTCTTTGTTTATTGAGTCTTGTATTGGGTCAATGTCTTTGGTCACCAAAATTCGTGTATAGGATCAATGTCTTTAGTCATTGAGTTTTGTATGGGCTCATTTTCATTCATTTGTGGTGTAGTTTGCATCGTTTCTTCTTCTCTTCCCTCCTCTCTATTTTTTAATTCTGAGTTGTCGAACCTATGTTTTAACTGATTAATATGTCTTCTCCATACCCCTAATTTAGTTTCAACTAAAAACGTCATTGGTCCTGTTCTTTTAACGATGATACCTGGTATCCAATTATCTTTTTTAAAATCCTTTGCATATATTTTTTCATTTATATTAAAAAAACCTGGTAACTGAGGTATATATGGATGAGGATAAACTGGTTTTATTAATTGTAAAGGTCCTATGGGTTGAAATTTAAGCATAATTGAACTTGGTGATTGTTTTGTGGTTATTTGTGGCGTATTTCGAAATTAAACAAAAAATCTTGTATTTTATTATAATCATTATGTTTTTTTAAAAATTTTTTAAAAGTTTCTACTAATCGCTCCGCTTCTCCGTTGGTTCTAGGGTGGTATGGGGCACTATATACATTTTTAATTGATAATTGTTTGCAAAATAAACTAAATTCTCTACTTCGAAATGGGGGGCCATTATCCGTAACAATCGTATTGGGGTAACCGAAAATAGCAAAAAGTCTTAACAACAATTTTCTTACTTCAGTAAAATTATTCGTCGTCATTTTTTGTATTTCAGGCCATTTACTAAAACTATCTATTATTACTAGGTATATATCTCCGTTAATTGGTCCGGCAAAATCTAAATGAATTCTTCCCCATGGTTTATTTGCGGAGGGCCATTTCCCTATGATCGTTTTATTGCCAGGATTATTTTGTTGACATAATTCACAATTCTTACCGTGTAATTCGATATCTTCGTTAATATTCGGCCACCAAACGTTCTCTTGTGCCAATAATTTTGTTTTAGTATAACCCTGATGCCCCATATGTAAAAAAGACAAAATATTTACTTGTAATTTTTTTGGAATTATGGTTCTTAAGCCCCATAATATACACCCTGCCTACATCGTGAGTTCATTTCGGCGCTGGAAAAACGGTTTAAGATTTTCCTCTATCATCTTTGGCCATCCAGTTGTAAGGTAACGTGAAACCTTTGATAATACCGGGTCATTTCTTGTGTGTGCTTATATATCTAACGCTGAAATAAATTGTGGAGCATCCGATACTATTAAATTAATATCTAACTCTTCCCAAGCAGATGGTTTACCGTCAATTGGAAACCGGGAAAGCATATCCGCATTACTATTTTTTTTCGTCCCTCGAAGTTGCAATTCATAATCATAATTTGCTAGTAGTAATTAGTGTTGTTAAACGGCTCGTTTTGAGCCGATTTTTAAAAACGGCTAACTCAATATTTCACCCAGAATAATATAACTTAAGCCTGAGGATTTTGCTTGTAGAAGGAACCAAGGTTAGGACATCTATTAGAGAAATCTCAAGGCTTAGGCTATATTTTTCAGGCTAAAATATTGAGTTAGCCGTTCTTAAAAATCGGCTCAAAATGAGTCGTTTAACAACACTAGTAGTAATGACCATCTTACTAATCTTGATGACATATCTGTTATTCTTTTATGTGGATTAAGTAACGATATTAGGGGTTTATGGTCAGTAATGATAATGAAATGTCTGCCAATTAAATATTGTTAAAATTTAATTAATCCAAATATAATTG